CTAAGTTTTATGAGAGTCCTTTGCCCTTAGGAAGGGCGAACAAATCCTCTTGGACCGTGAAACATAAAATTTACAATCTACAGGCGCTTAAGTTTAAAAACATACAGGTACCCGCCACTAAAATGTATTCTTTCATGGATTTTATATATTTATCTGCCCCAATATTTATACTCATTAATTTCAATAAAGTAAAATTTGAAGGTAATGAAATATGTTTTTACAACTATAAAAATTTTACAGTCATATTGTATCTAGATTTCTAGATTTATACTACTCGGGTAATAGTGCACCCCGAGTCCCGAGACCCAGCCTACAGAGGTACCCTCTAAACTTAGGAGCACTGCCCGACAAGACTCCAGTGAGGATTATCGCTTGTTTCTTGCCCAACCCTATAATCTTCTTAAATCGTTTCTGTTCATAATCAGTATGTGGTCCGATTGCGCAAAAAAACAACTTTTTTTAATTAGAAAAAAACTTTAATTCGAAAAAGATACTTTTAATTGTTCTAATGCATATTTCGTGCGCAGCATCACTCTATTAAAGCTGATGTTCCTTTTTGAAGAAATATTTTATGAATTTTTTTAAGAGATTTTTTATTTCTTTTGTCATCAATAATATGTACATAAGACTACGATCTTTCATAGTTTTATCAGCATAAGTTTTTCACTTATATTCTAACATACTGAAATTTTTATTCACAATTTTTTTTAAAAAATTTTCCCGCAGTGTAGAAAATTTTTTTGTTATTTCATTCAATACAACGGTATCAAAATAAATAATGTGCAAATACTTCGGTAGCATATTGCTCTCTATCCATCCAACATACTTTACTATGAGTATATGTATTATAAATACATACTACCATATAGTATGTATATACGTACATAAGTACTTATTTTTTGCTGTAATGTATTATTGTATTCTAAAGCTTTTAACCAGACAAAATACTAAATGAATTTATTAAAACTTAATTCAGTTCAGTATAAATTAAGACGTTGTCGGATTGAGATGATTTAGAAAAACGGAACTTATTACCTTATTACCAAAAATAAACATAATAAAAAAGAATAAAAAATAAACAAATTTAGAAAATTATGAAATTCTTTTTTTTTAATTTAAAACTTCGTTATTAAAAATTGTTATTTTTGTTATTTAAAACAATTAATGTAAATAGACGAATTAATGAATTATGTTACATAAAATGTCCAACTACTATGAATTTATTATAAAAACTCTTATATTTGAAAATCATTAATAAATTGTAAAAAAGATTTGAAAGAAACAGCAATTTTTTGAAAAAGAATTTAATATTTTATATTGATAGGTGAAAATATTGTGACAAAAATAAGTGTATTTGTTTTTTTTTTTTTTGCACGTTATAACGTTATTATAATAGAATTAATTTAAAAATAAAATAATAACCTTGAGAAGAGTTGAAATATTTAATAGATATTTATAATAAAATATAAAATTATACTCGGAATAAAAAAATAATAAAAATTATTTTGCAAGTATTAAAGAAGTATACGTAAATAAATTAATACTTACACATACTAGATTTTGAAGAAATTAAGAATTTAATAGATATTATTTAAAAAGATTTCCATAAAAACTATTATTTGTAATTTTGCTAAGTAGGTAAGTACCTATATATGTATGTACATATATAATTCTTTTGTTTTAATTTTTGATATTCTAACCCGCTTCTTACACTCATTTAAGCAGAATTATAATTTTTTATATGAAGTTAATTAAAAAATGATTGCATAGATATTCTTTATATTAAAGGGCATACTTTAGCATGATGTTATAAAACTTCATTGCAGTATTGTTTTAAATTTCAATATTGAATTTGATTGATTTCTCAAAATATGAAATACAAACAATTCGAACCATTTCTCATCCAAAATATAACTAAATGTTTACAGCTTTTAGCTTCATTTATTCAGCTCACAATTAGTCTTATGTTATTCTCATAATTTCTTATGTTGCTTAAAAAGTACTTACTAGTTTCACAAAAAAATACCAATATTTTCTTAAATTGAACGAAAGTACTGTATGTAAGACTATAAATTTGGCCTCAAAGAAAGGGTACAAGCATGTATAATAAAAAAAAGTAGATATGAAAGTCTTAAAAGAAAAATTAAAAATATGACACCCTACCTTTTAAAATTTTGCTACAACAAAATATCTTTGTTATTTGATATAAAATTAATTTTTACTTTTGATATTTTATGCACTTGTTGCGGTATGCATTACATGATTTTATTACTACTTTATTTTATATAGAGTTTCCATTTTCACTTTTCAACTGTTTACAAAAAAAAAAGAAATATAAAATTTTAGACGACACTCTTTATTTACTAGTAGGTATAATAAAAAATTTTTTTACTCATTTATATATGTACATATGAAAATACATAGTAACTTGTTATCAAATTAGAGATGTGTGAAACTGCATTACATCTTTGTCATATTTGGATTTAAATAAAATTATATTCTATGAATAAAATTTATTGCCAAGATTCGAACAAAATTTTCGAGATTGAACAAGTAAATAACACAGATATATATGACGAACAACAAATTACCAAAAACAAACTTAATATTACTTTTATATGCGTTCTTATGTAATAATGTAGCATGCAGGACTAAGATTAAAGTTCGTCACAAAAAATAACATTAACATGACCTCTAACATGAAAGAATTTATAGAATTTCATGTCTTCAAATTTAGTTTGATAAATTTTGATGTTTCTTTATTATAAATTCAAGAATTTTAAGTTCGAAATATAAAATTCACCTCTTCTTAAAATATTAAAGTTATAATAAGCTAGTTTTGAGTAATAATTTTATTCGAAAAGAATAAATCGAAATTAAATGTATTAAATATAACTTTTTTATTGTTAAGACCAGAAGATTTCTATGAGAAAGGACAATAAGTTTTGGGGACAATAAGATAGAAATTATTAAAACTAGATTAACTCATTGATTACAAATTGTTTCCAAACATTTCAAACTTGTCATTATCATCTTTTCGTCAGTCATAATATTTTTAATACTACTTATGTGTATGTCTTTTATATATTTTTATATTACATATACTTTTACTATAATAATATATACACATATATATACATATGTATATTTTATAAAAAATAAATTTTCCAATATTTTTGTGACTAAACTATGAAAAGCTTTTGTTTGTACCTTAGAATACCTAAATTCATATAATGTGCCTGTAAATAAAAAACAAAGACTGCAAAATACAAAACTTAAGAGAAAACTTGAAACTACAATAAAAAGTGTCATTACATTTTACAGCTGTTAAAATACAAATACATATTTAAACAAATTTACACAACTACTCTTATAATATATTCACCATTGTTAATACCGGCATAGAGCTGTAATATGTAAGAGAACCAAGCAGTCTCTAATGTAATTGCATATTTTTGTAAACAAATTACTCTTAATTGAACAGCTAAAAGCAATTTTTTAATTTTTCTGTACAATTCGAAATAAATTTAAAATTGTTAGTACATAAAAACATATGTCAGGTATATAACATTATATGTATTTATAAATAGTATATCATAAATATATCTATCTATGTATACATATGTACTTAATATTTTATCTCCAAGTTAAAATGCGAAATTTCAGATTTTGAGACACTACCTGATATAAATAGTAACAAGACTAATTTATTTATTTCAGAAATTCAAATTAATAAAGATAAAATATATATATATATATATATATATATGTTTTTTGTTGTATTATTAAATATAATAAAAAGAATTATTTTGCTGTACATAGAACTTTTTGAACTTTGATCTTATAAGCACTTAAGCATATATGAATTTAAGTACCGATATATTTATGGTTATTTACGGTGTATAACAATAAAGATCGGACAAAAAATTAAATCAATTGAAAATTCAAGAATTTTATTTTTTTTATTTAATCAAAAACATTTAGAAAATAATAAAATTTATGGCAAGACTCAATGATATCATTAAGAAAAGCATAGTTTATGGGTAAAAGTGAGTCTTTTTTGAAAACTTGGTTTACTGGAATAATTATCTTCTAATTTTTAAGCAACTCCTTGATTACTACCAGTTTAAATAGATAAATCAAAATACTTATTTTGCATATTCTAAATATTTTAAACAAGTTTTTACATATTTCTAACTATACTATTCATTGTATAACCCTAGAAAATATGTGTAAATAATCTTGCTAAGAATCAAATTCTAAGTTGACCTTAACTATGCCGGCTTGTCCACCTGTCGTTGAAGCGCTCATTTCAAAATAAAAAGGAAATATAAGTAATACTAGAACTAATATACCTCCTGTACAAAATAACGGTAGGGACTTTAAAGAGAATTCCCGAAATATGATGCAAATGTTTCGAAAAACGGAAAAACTATTAAACTTTTTATTTGATAACCTTTTTTGAAAATAGATCCCGTGTGGATCCAGTTCGGTTTTAATGTACGATATAAATAGTATATCATAAATAAATATATGTATACATATGTACATACTCATTTATATATATGTATTTTATTTCGTTTGTTTTACATTTTAATAATTCGTTTTTACATTAATGGACATAAAATTTCACTACTTGAACTCCCTTGTTGACACTTACTCTTTTAGTTTAATAATCAAGAAACATAATTCATATAAATAAATCACAATTACGTAATATTATGTAATGTAAAAATCATGCTTAGAAAATTAGAACACTCATAATATTCATATTTTAAAATAAAAGAGCAAGTTTCAATAATCATTCGGTCGAAGTCCATGAAAAAAATTTTTAATGAATAATGTCTGAATAAACTTAGTTGATACCTGAACTTAATTCCTAAATTTTTTATATTAGTTTTATCTTATTTTGTTCAAATATTATGTATAATTTACTTTAAGACAAAAGTTATTTTCTTTAAAACATGAAAATTATATGTTCTATACTTTTTTCATTTCAGATTTAAAGGTTTATTGTGATTCATGGTGAATTTTTTCCTCAACATATTAGGACAGAAATTTTATGAAGTTTATGAATTCGCTGGACGAATAAAAATTCTGGATTGATTTTGAATGTTGTACGCTTGGAAGCTATAAAGTTTTATTAATTCAGGGAGAAAATGAAATAAAAAGAATAACTACATGATGCTAACATACTGATTTATAATTGGATTACAATATTTAAACTGTAGTTAATGAACAATTAAAATAATTGCACAAGATTAAAACAAAAACATTTAATTTTAAAAACTTAACTTAACAAAGATTTGCAATAACTATCTTCAAAATGAATAGCTTGGTGAGAGTTTTCAGTAATTTCAAAGATTTTTATAGTGAAATTAATGGTGCTACTTTAACTGGTGCCATTGACGTCATTGTCGTTGAACAACCCGATGGCGAGTTTTTATGTTCCCCTTTTCATGTCCGTTTCGGTAAGCTCGGGGTATTAAGAAGTCGAGAGAAAATTGTAAGATATTTGCATTTTTTTTAATAGTTTTCATTACTAAATCATTTTTTTATTATGTAGGTTGATATTGAAATAAATGGTGAACCAGTTGATATACATATGAAATTAGGAGAGTCTGGGGAAGCTTTTTTTGTTGAAGAATGTCCAGAGGAAGAAATTGAAGAATTACCAGATAATTTGGCAACGTCTCCTTTACCGAGTAATGATTTTACCAGTTTGGATGACGTAAAAACTTTAAGGTAAGTTTAAAAATGCATCGTACTTTTTTTGAATTTTTTTTTTTTTGACGAAATTTGAAAGTTCTATTTCACCAATTAATGATAACTATTATTATCTGAATTTCAATTTATTTACAGTACTACTAGTGATATACCATTGCCAATGCCAATGCCTAGGCGTAATTCAATTGACTTGTCAAAAGATTGTAACGAAGATAAAAAAGATTTACTTTCTCTTGAAAATCAGGTGTCTGACTATAAGACTAGAAGGTAATCAATTTTCTTTTGGCTGTTATATTATAATATAATATACATTTTATAGTATACAATATAATTCAAAATCAAAAATTATATTTCTGGCTTTTGTAGGCATACAGATAACACTCTAGAACGCAGAGAATTAAGTGCAAAACTTAAAGAGTTTACTACACAAAAATTAAGACAAGAATGGGCTGAACATGAAGAACAACTATTCCCAACTGAAGTTGGTGGAGATGTTGTGAAGGTAAATTAAATTACAAATGATTTTTTAAATAAGAAAATGTTTTTAATGAATTTTTTGTTACTAGTTTCATATATTTTTGATTTGATTTGATATCAATTATGTAATCTATTTGTTTTTATAATTAAAAATTATGTTTACTGTTTGTACAATAAATGTTTACTTGCAACTAAATGAATTCAAAGATTTAGGAAATCCCTTTTAGAAACTGTTGCTTTAAAAAAAAATTATTCGTAATTGACATAAAATTTTAAGATATTAAGGAAATTTAATAAAAAAAAAAAAATTAAAATTATGCAAATGCTTATTTGTTCACCTTTTAATAAAATTAAGCAACAAATACTTAGAATTTATGTTTATAAATTAATTATTCCCAATATGTACAGGAATCCGACACAAAAATAATAATCCATTCATCCGCCGAAGACAAAGGCATTGACGAAAATGAGTTGACTGATTTAGCAAATAATAATAAATTTAATAAAATAGAAAACAAAAATAATACCAAAGAAAAACAAATAAGAGATGCTAATAAAACTAGTAGCGAACCAATTGCTATTGAACAAAACAACAAAACACAGTATCAACAATATGCTAAAGATGAATCAAAATCAAAAAAGAAACGTCGTAAGAAGAGTCAAATGAAGAAAAAAAATTCACAAAGGAAAGAATCATTAAGCAGTTCAGTTGAAAATACTGTAAGTCCGATAATTGCTAATCCCATAAATACTCAACCGGTGGAAATTGAAATTGAACCAGACGCAACCTCAAATAATACTAGTGGCTCATCAAACGATGAGTCGTCTTCTCGTAATGAGGAAGCATCTAACAAAAGTTCTGAACTAAAAACAGCTACTGGTAATGATGTTACAATGATGGATTCTTTAACGATTTCTAACACGACCACAACTTCAATTACAGCCGATAATAAATTAAATTCACCAAATCGTTTACGTGAACTAGATATACATTTCTTTAGTGATACCGAAGTAGGAAATTCGAATTTCAGTCCAAGGGATTCGAGGCCTTCATCTCCAATTCAAAGTGACACAGAATTTGAAATTTCACAGCAACGTGAAAAAGACAAAGAAAATTCAATTCCCCAAAACGCTTCGTGGAAATGGGGTGAATTACCTCAAACTCAAACGAATGAGCAAAAAGATGAACAACAATCTCAAAGGAATTCAATGTTAAGCGGCATGTTCAGTTTTATGAAGAAAACTAATAAAATTCGGAAATGTTCAACTGATGGTGGAGTGTACTTGTCGGAAATTGATGCTGAATCAATGGATCCTGAAATGGCTGCACTATATTTTCCATCAATAAATAAAAATTTATCGATGAATACAAATGAGGATGATCAAGAAAGTGGTAATGGTACATCATTACCACATAGTCCAAGTTCAATGGAAGGACCAAAGAGTTTAGATTCAGATTATGATGAAGGAAAACCTCTCGATAATAAGTATGAAAAAATTATCGTTGAATAAAATGGATGAAAGTATTATAAAGTTTTGTATTTCATAGATATATAGACTTCGTTGCATTATCCGATTGCGGTGGTATAGAAAAAGGTGGACCAACTGATGAAGAATTTAATAGAAATTTGGTAAAATATTCCGATGTAAGTATGCATTAAATAACAAGTAAAACAAGTCCTCAAATGATTTTTTAAAAATTATGAATGTGTTCTTTATCTTACACAAAAATCAAATATTAAAAATTAAAAACCTAAGATATAATTCTTATAATTTCATCTAATTTTATATATTTTCTTTTGCCGTTATTAAATTTCTAAAAGCAAATTATATTTGAGATCCCTTTTAAATAAAAGTTTAAATACATGTTTAAACTGATGTTATTTACTATAGTTTTTGTGTATTTCTTTTTTGTCATTTCATTTTATTATTCAATTTAAGTTTAAATGAAAATTTTTACTAATTTTTAAATACTGCAATACTCTATATGTATATGTTAAATTTTTCATTTTTATTAAAAATTTGTTCCAAATGTTGGAAATTTTTGTAAATAACTACATATATCACTCATTTTAAAAAATCATTAAATTAACACAGCAAAAACTTCGTCCGATACATTTTTTCCACGTAGGTATGTCAAAATCCTAGTCTATTTTCCTCACCAAACTTAGTAGTACGTTTAAATGGTAAATACTACAACTGGACTGCTGCATGCCCCATCATAATGACAATTATAACATTCAAGAAAGCGTTACCTAATGTGAGTTTAAGTTAATTGTTGAGATTAAAACTTATTAATTGTAAACTGTTTTTAAATGTTATTAAAAAAACAAATTCGCTAATGTAATTAGAAGAATAGATGAAATAATTAAATTATTCTTTTTCGTTACCAGGATGTTATTGAACAATTGATGAATATTCCAAAAAATAACATTGATGAGAAAATCGATCAAGCAATGTCAGAAACGACAACACAAGAAACAAAACGTGGTTATTCCTGGTGGTACTGGCGTAGATCAGGTGCTGGCGTAGACAAGCCCCCAACTTTAAAGGATGACGAACATAATATTAAAAGTATAGAAAAATTATATACTATACATAGCAAAATTTTTATAACAATCATAATTTTATTGTTATTTTCTGAAACATCTTAGATGAAGTTGATTTAAATGCAGTAGGTACGCAAACATCTCGAACTAATTCGCCAGATGAGAACAAATCAACAAATATATTAAGTACAAGTGAAAATTCTGATCTCTTAAGGACATATAATACTTCTATCGACAGCATTAAGGGTGAAAAGTATAAAAAAAGTTTACGTTTAAGTTCTGATGCTATTGTAAGTTTTTGTATTTACATTAAGCTTTAAAATGCAATTTTCTTCAAAATTGTTATAACATTCTAGAAACAATTAAATTTAAAACCTGGAGTAAACGAAATAGAATTTAGCGTTACAACTGCGTATCAAGGAACTAGTCGTTGTAAATGCTACCTATTCCGTTGGAAACATAATGATAAAGTCGTTATTTCTGACATTGATGGCACAATAACAAAATCAGATGTCCTTGGACACATACTTCCAATGGTTGGGAAGGATTGGGCACAAATCGGTGTAGCGCAATTATTTTCAAAAATTGAAGAAAATGGATATAAATTATTATATTTGTCCGCGCGTGCAATTGGCCAATCTCGTGTTACCCGAGAGTATTTACGTTCAATTAGACAAGGTGACGTACAGCTACCAGATGGCCCTTTATTGCTAAACCCAACGTCATTAATATCAGCATTTCATCGTGAAGTTATCGAACGTAAGCCAGAGCAATTTAAAATCGCTTGTTTATCTGATATTCAAGCGCTCTTTCCTGATAAAAATCCATTCTATGCTGGTTATGGAAATAGAATTAATGTAAGATTGATAAGTTTATATGATTCAAGTTTAAGTTAAACTTCTTTTTAGGATGTTTGGGCCTATCGAGCTGTTGGTATACCAATAATGAGAATATTTACAATAAATACTAAAGGAGAGTTAAAACATGAATTAACTCAAACATTCCAGTCCTCGTAAGTGATTAATAATATTATAACGTTATAACATAAGCATTATGCATGCCTTTGCTATTTTAAATAACATTCACATTAATATATGTAAATGTTGTAACCATTTGAAATAACAAATACTGTGTTTCCAGTGGTTTTAATTAAATTTATTTTTGACTTTTATAATAGTGACAATCAAAATAGACTGACAAATTACACTACTAATTACACTGACCAATTTATTACAAATGCAAAATTAAGATCTCTACTACAATTTTTTGCTAATTTGAAAAGGTTGCTTTTTAACAAAAATGTTTAGCTAAAATTGTTATTGTGCTAAGTATTATAATTTTGTATTCCAAGTTCAATTTTGCATTTATGATAAAAGTTATGGACAAATATTCACGATTCTTTGAAATATGTTATCTTCAAAGTTTAAAAAAAAAAAATTTTGTTTCAATTGTATATATACAAAAAAAATACAAAAAAAATGTAATCAATTTAAATATTAAAGAACATTCATATCATATCTGAAATAATGTAGAACTTGAGAATTTAACAAACTAATATTCTTATAACATTATATCATTATATCATTTTATAGTATGTAAAATTAACTCAATCTAGATTATGACAAAAAATTGCAAATATATTTTAATATGTCGTGTGTACATATATTCATATGAATTTTTGAACTGATTATTATTTTAAACAAAATAAGGCATTTTTCGGTTCAATTTATTTAAAAATTTGTTAACTTATTTTGAAGTTTTGCAGCTCGGAACATAGCGTTATGTAGAACGTACATATACCTTTTCTAAGTTTTAAGTTTCCGAGCTTTCCTAATCTATAGTTTTAATTTAATTGATTTGACATTTTATATGATTTATCAATATTTTTTTCAAAAACATATATACATACATAAATTTGGTTATGAGCCAATTTCCTAACAAGTTTAGATTGAATATTAAGCATTTTAAATTACATCGTAACAAACATTTGAAAGACCCAATAATATGTTAATGTTATTTAAATAATTCATTTGCAAAATTTTGGTAAAATTGCAATAAAGAAACCCACATATCTTAAGTTAATAATTTTGTATTTAGTTGTTATTATTATTGTCTACTGAATTAACAAAATATCTTGGTATATTGACTTTTTTCAATATTTTCATCCTATAAATTTCTTGCATTATAAATATTATGATTAATTACACACAGTATACTATAACAAGTTTTTACATAATTGTAACATTTTGTATATTATTCTGCTAACACTGTCTTAAATTGATTTTTCATATCATGCCGCTTCCCATATTTTGTTCATTCTTTCATTTAAAAAACAAAAAAAAGCAATTTTTTAGAGAATCCGTAAATAAATTTTCTAGTTATACTGGTCAAACTATAGTGGTAAATGAAATCTTCCCACCGATTAATATATATAGTGACGATGAGGCTGATGGTGACTATTATCGTGATGATGAAGATGAATTACAATTTCATCATTCTGAAACAGAAAATGATGACACAGATTAATTTCCTGTTTTTTTTTTTAACTTTTAATTTTTCTTTATTTAAAAATCAAATATTGTATTTTAATTACAATAACAAAAAGTCAACCAATAAGTAATATTGTAAGAAAAATCAAATTTATTAAGTGAATTATAAATTTAAATTAAAACAGATAAGATATGGTAATCGGAATGTGATGTTAGAATTTAAAGTGATAGCGAAAAATAATATGTGAATTAGTATATTTTTCTACTAATCATATTCAAAATTTATGAAGGGCTTATAAAGCTTTCTGAATTTACCTTAAGGATATTTAATATATGTAGTTTTGCGCTGTTGAAAAATAGCAATTATATTTTTTTAATAAAGTTTTTATTTGTTTCAAAAAAATTTATAACTATGTATATACGAGTATATAACCTTTATGAAAATAGATTATGTAAATTATTCATCATTTACGTGAAATGGACAATATTTTAAGAAGAATATTACCTGTATTTTTCTGTTGAAGAATATAGAATAGGTAAAAATAAATCTTCGAGTATGTGTAACATAAAAAATGTAGTTGTACAGAACATTTTCACATAAATTGACAAATCATTTGAAATACTTGATATTAGATGATAAAATTTGAAATTATTAGATATGTGAAATTATTATTATATTTACAACATTTTGGATTAAGCTATAGTGAACATTTTTCCTATGGTATCTACTTTTGGTTAAAAAATTTAAAGGAATTTATATACATACCTAAAAAAACAATGAAGTGAATTTATATTAAATAATACTATATATTATATTTAATTATATTTTTAAGTAGATTTTTAAGGAAATATTACGCTTTTTGTTATTTTTTAATAAGTAAACAGAATACGAAATATAAATGCAGTCTACATCCGTATTTGGATTAAACTTTTTATAGTACCTATGTACCTACAAAGTTTGTTATGGTATTTTAAGTTGACAGTATCATAAAATATTTGTTAAAATTATTTAATTTAAAAATACTTATTAGTTTTAAAATTTGAATGGATACTTTGTAGAACAAAAGAAAACAATAATTATTTTTATAAATCTTTTTTTGTTTATTTTTTTTTTGTAAATATTAAATGTTTTTTTTTTATTTATTGTAGAAATTTTCAAAAATAAAGTGATTTTAAATTTATTTTGAATTTTATTGATAAATACATAATCATATTTTAAAAATCTAAATTATTTAAGAATTTCAAATACTTATGTTTTGAACAAGATTTCAAAGTGTCTAACCATTTGGGACAAAATTTGGAAAACATGTACATTGTCTTTTAATTACTTTTAGCCTGATTGTGTATCATCTACTTTTATTCACTTTCATCAGAAATCTCCTTCGTTTTACTTGGATAATTTGTTTTTACAATAAGATCAATAATTTTTTTTGAGATATACAATCAATAATGGTGAAGTGCACAATCTGGCCCTTAATGTTGTAGTATTAGATCAAATTCTAATAATAATATTGAAAGTAAAAAATATTATGACAAATATTCTGTTTTTTTTTTCCTTCTTTTTTTTAATCATACCTAATATCTTAAAAAAATCAAAATTCTCAACCATTCAAATTATTTCACTTTTGAACCAGGACTAGATTGACTAAGCTTTTTCGACAGGATTTGTTAATTTTTTAACACTGTATCGAATTAAAGCAAGCAACTAAGACAAAATTTTTAAATTTTTGTTTTGCTTCATTAATTTGTGATATCCGATTTTTAAAAAATTTAATTAATATAAATTATGTTTAAACTAGAACTATATTTATACTAGAAAGTATATTTAGAAGAATAAATAATAATTTCAATTGTATGAAAGCAAAATAAGTTTATTTATTTATGAAGAAACTTTAACATTTAAAAAAAATTATCATTATAGTTAAAAATTTATAAATGTTTAAGTTATTTAAAATTAATTTTTTAAAGGTTAAAAATTTAATTTAACTGGAAGCAACAGTATTTGAGAATGATATTTAAAAAGAATAATTTTAGATAATTTGTACTAGTTTTCTTTTTTTTTTTTAAAAAATATAATTTAGGTTTTTTTTATCTTTTAGATATTGCAGTATGACATATATTGTAGATCAACTATTTCCTCCAATACGAGATGATGAAGTATCAGCCGAATTTTCAAATTTTAATTATTGGCGTGAACCAGTTCCTGAAATTGAGTTAGATACAGATATCAATGATTTAACTTTGTGTCGTACAGCTCCTAATCGCTCCTCTCTCCCTACTATATCCGAGAATTAAGCAATGATAAAAAAAAACATTAATTTGATAATTACAAAAATAAGATGGATAAAAATTTGTTCATAATTTAAATAAAAAGTAGTCCAAACTTTTATTTCAGTATCATTCGAAGAAATTCCCTATGGAAGAAATCAAAGTTTGTTTTCCTTTTTTAAATATATTTTTTATTACTTAAAAACGCATATAAAAATTAAAGAATTGCTATGAAAACATACATAAAACTGTAAATTAAAATAAATTTTCTCATAGCTTAAACATATTACAATATACCGTAAATAAAACAATTATTATTTATTTAAATAATTTTCGAAAAAATGTAACTTTAGTCTGAAATAAAATGTAGTAAGCCTTGTTATGTCCTAATATTACTCATTATATCTACTTAACCAGGTTAAAGTGCATTGTTTCTCTAATATGTAAACCGATGAAAAACTAAATCTGATAAAACCAACCATTATTTTTTTAATTAGTTTGCTTTTATCATTATTAATTAAAAAATAAATAGAATATTACTTTTACTTAGCTATATAGATAGATGTTCACAGCATTATTAAATTGTACCCATGTACCCATGTAGAAAACTTAAACAAAATTAAAAATTTCATTAAGAAATAAATCAAAAAGAATATTAATATAGGTTTAAAGTTCTGTTTAAAAAATATAAAGTAAGCCAATAAAAAATCTGCTTTATTTAATTTATTTGATATAAATTCCGATAATTAATGTGTTTCAGAAATATCATATTTAAATTCTTTTTAAAAAGTAAATAGCAAGTTTAACTTTGAAGAAATTTGGCTCAAATTTTGACCCATTATACACCATTAAATTTTATTGAACCAAAATATTGACGCTTAGAGTCGTAATTAGGAATTATTGCATTTTGTGCACCGTGAATTTTTAAAGTATGTATGTAAAAAAATCAACCTTTGTTTTTTAAATATCAGTATCTCAGTATCGATTAATTTTAGTTAAATTTGAATTTTTTTTTGCAATTTTATCATTTGTAGAAAAGGCATAGCAAGTATCACGATGAGTTCAATTTTTTCTCTTTGCCAAAATTAATAAATATACATATTTATGCCTAACAATTCCAAACAAAGATTTATCTTGTAAAATTTATTTCTATACTAAATACCTTTTAACTATGCATGCTTCTAGGACATTCACAGAAACAATAGCTTTTAAAAATTTTTTTTACATTTAAGTTTTCTGCTTCATAGATGAACGGTTCCCGTAATTTTGAGGTAAAGTCTATCAAAAAAAATTTACCTCTAAATTTAAAATACAAATTAAACTAATAGAACTAAGCCCCACATATATATGTATGTATTCAATTAAAAATTCATAATCAGGAATGTAATAGATAGAACAATTAAATGCATAACTCTTAAATAAGAGTTCTTTGTTTTACTTAATATCTATTTATTTGGATATCTCTCTGCATTCTACGTACTTCCATAAAAAATAGAGGAGATTAAATATTTCATCTTTATCAAATATATATAAGATGTGAAGAAAAATATTGGCGCGAAGTGTTAGAAACATATAAACCTTATAATAAAATTAGACTAAATTCTGGATCGATGATGATAAACGGAATGAATTGAAGTAATTTCATGCGTATAAAAAAGAATAGCAATCATTGAAATTTATCAGCAAAATAATATTAAAATATGCAGCTTATTCTCTTATTCACGAGTTAAAAAAAAATGCCACATGCATAACCCTTATTCGGAAATTACTTGAAATTTTAAAATTATAACTTAATCATGTACAAAAAGTAATGCATGTTAGTTAATACCGTTTCTCGCGAAGATACGAATTGAATAAACGGGTCAAATGAAAATAATTACCATTATTTCTTAAAATGGAATACATAAATAGAATTTAAAACCTTCGAGTATCAATTCCACTTATGAACTTTTGGTTTAAAATTACTTTTATTTTTTTGAAATTAAAAGAAATCTTTGAATGTCTTATAGTTTTGCTGAAATTTTTAGCAGAATGCATTTTTTTTGGAATTATTTTCAAATTATATTACAAATAAATATTAAATACATTATACAGAAATATATGTATGTACTACGTTGTACTATAAAAATAATTTATTAATAAAAAAATACATAATGTAATACTATATACTATATACATATATATGTAATGCAGAATAAAAATTATAAAACATATGTATTAAAAATGAAAAAAAGTAATTGCTTCACTGAAATAAATATACAAACATATTTGCTTAAAACCAAACATTTAGTATTTTTTTCATATAATCAAGGTAAAAAGAACATTCCCTGAAAACTGCATTATTATGCACAATCTAACAAAAATAAAAAAGTTCAAAAAGTCACAATGGAAATAAATGGGCGATAATTATGAAATTTATTGTTTTGTACGTTTATTACAAATCTGATTAAAAGAAGTTTCTTATAGCGAATAAAGTTTGCCATGTCAATTTTATTCAGAATTTTAAACTTTTTCTTTCAGATTTCTGGTAATCCTTCAGATTAAGGTCTGAACTTTGAAGTGGAATTACAGCTACTCATCAAATATGATTAATGTTTTGAGTTTTCATCTTGATAAAATTCAAAATAGAAACACCGAATTTTACCCATAAATAATATAGCTGAGTTTACCATCATCTAGCTTGATGATGAATATGCATACGTACGAGTATGTTTTTATTAAGTGACTTTTTTTAAGCGTAAAACAAATTTCTTAAGGTTTTACATTTTGCAAGGAAATCAATAATATTTTTCCATCGCATTTACGAAATTAATGCGATGGAATCATCAATTGATGCGATGTGCTGGTTAAATAATTAATTTTGTTAAAAAAAAAAATGAGAAAACTTTGGCTATGACGTATGCCTTTACATGTACTACTTAATCAACAACTCCCGAAAATATATGCACTTAAAACATCTGAAATATTCATAGAAATATGCACATTAAATTGTTAATTATAAATATAATAAAATCAATTCTTAAACAAAAAACAAAATTTGATGTCCATATCGTTGTATGTTTCATCAGTTTTTTATTTAAAAGGTAACAGACATTTGAAATAAAAAGGTCTAAAATACAAAATATATCGATTACCTCATGGCGAAATAAGCTACTTTTACTACATAAATTTAACGGAAGAACTTAAGCTTTTAAATTTTCAGAAAATGCTATACAATAAACAAACCTATAACATGATAGTGAAGCCTATAAGACTAAGATACAAAAGTGTTATCGTACGTTAATTTTGTTTTTAGCCAATTCTTTAATACCATAAGAACTTTTGTTGTTTCTGGCAAATCCTACCTAAAATATAACTCAAAAGCATAAGTCTTCAGCTCTGGTGGAAAAAATCTTGTTAAAGTATAAAATCTGAATCAAATGAACAATAAATAAAAGGAGATTGGAATTGGACAAAAGTAATACATTAAATACATATGCCTTTATGGTATAAACCCGGGTGAGAGAAATAAAGTAGAATATGCTTAAATATAAACTTATTTAAATAATAAATGTACATACATACATACATATTATGTACAAACATTTTTTTATTTTATCACTCAACGATTATTTTTCAAATTTGAAAAGACACACTTTTCGTTTTCTAAAATTGATTAATAAGTGGCATTCTAACAACCAATTAAATTTATTGTCTAAAATTTTTGAAAGTACTTGCTGTATAGGTTGTCTTGGGCTATCAAAAATATAATTCCAGATTATCAGTTTGACTTTGCAAACATCTACTGTGCATATATCTGCTACATACATATGGAGCAGATTCTCTTAATGGTATGTGTATTTGTTATATATACTTCATCATCTCGTATTGGATATACTGCAGTTGCAATTGATATTCAAAGCCCTTTCGATAATTAAAAAATAAGTTACAGACTTTTTACCAGGCTGGATATTTTGTGTTGTTAATAAAGGTTCCGTCTTCGCATAGACAAGTTTAAGCAAGAGTTCTTCAAGGATCAGCTCTCGAAACTAAATAATTTAATAAACTTACCTAAATATTTCAATAAATTATGATCCACCCACTTTTTGCGGGATAAAAATTCTAATATTATAATTAAAATGTAACATAGATCAATAATGTTTTTTACTAGTTTTAATTCAGTTAAGTCTCGGCCATTATGTTATTTAAATGTATTTATAATTTGAACATATTATTCAGCTTATAATGGTAAATTGCTGACTTCTGTATTAATACAGTGTTGCTGCATTTTCGAAGTCAAGAATATTTATTCGTATTTCTGTTCGAATAAACTTTATATTTGTAATATCCTTCATTGCCTCATAAAACAACTTTCATGCTTTGGAAAATTACCTGCCACGAACAACTTCATTGTCAAGAGTAAAGTCAAGTGTTCTTCGATTTACATATCTGCGATTATGTATTTATTATTAGTGTAGTTAAATTAGCGATCAATCAGTAATTTTGAACATAAGGTATCCCGTATTATCATAAGAAACTCCTTTTGATTACGTTGATAAATACATATGTATGTTTCAAAATGGTTAATAATGTTATGAACCGCATTAAATTAAACAAATAAAATTATAAATTAAATATTTTTTTTTTGTACATAATAGTAATTTAAATTAAATTCTCATACAAGACACATTTGAATGAATTCAAATCCCATTTGGAACAGAATCTCATATCAAAATACGAGTTATGCAAGGTGCTCTTTCATAGCTCTGAAATTCGGAAAATTGCGAAAATTATTTTATCAGTTGCAAATAACTAAAATTCTGCTACGAATATTCGTAACGGAATAATCATAAATTGCCTTCGTAGTAAAAATAGAATAGTCGTATTAAATTTTTAAGTTTTGAATTTTTTTGATTAGCACCTTTGCTTTGTAATATTTACACTTACACCCATGACTTCCTTCCGTTCAAAAATTGTGAATCTATCAAAAAATTGTAGGATTATTGGCTACTGATATTATAAATAATATTCAACGTTCAATTGATATTCTTTCAAATCGCTTTAAAAAGTGAAAAATTTGAATGTATCCGCTAAAAACACAAGCTATATTTATAACCAAGAAGAGAAAGGCTTATTTCTTACCCCAAACTAAATTAAGAATTCATAATACACCCATTGAATGGTCCGATCAAATTAAATATTTGGGTGTCATATTTGATAAAAAGTTAACTTTCAAAAATCATGTTTCATATATACATAATAGACAAACTAAAATTTACCATACGGATTCTTTATCCTTTTAGTAATAGAAATTCTAGAATAAACGAAAAAATAAGTTATCTTTAAGGTAATAAATATTTCAATAATATATTAGAAAACTTCAAGTCTTGCAAAATAAAATATTAAAAATGATATATAACTTACCATTGCGTTACTCTACCCTTGCTTTGCATTATAGAAATAACATTTTATCAATATCGGAAAAAATGGATATTTTCTGAAATATTAATGGAATGGATAATTCTGAAAATCCCTTGATAAGACAAATATCAGCAAACTGTTTATAAATTTAGACTAAGTTTTACTATAGAATAAGTTTTAATTAAAACTAAACTGTTTATAGGTTTTTCTTTTGTTTTTCCTATTATTATACTTTTAAATTGAATTTTTTTTTTAGATAAACAAGTTTTTTGAATAAGTTCACTTCGAGAAATGATACTACCATTGGTGATTCATAATCTCTGCGAAAGGAATTTTTGATCACTCTTTTATATATAGATAATGTTCACAGCTCAACAGGTTCCGAGCTACAAAGATTTAATTGTCAGTATAAGGACTTTCTCATTTTAACTGAGTTTTGCTTAGGTACATCAGTCACCTTGATTTAAGAGTTGATGAGAAAAGTTAAGTATATAGTGTAATAATTGATTTTTATACTGCCTTTTTCATTCAATTATTTTAAAAAATTTAAAAACAACCGTTAAAAGTGGTGTTTCTTTTCAGTTATGCAAATGTCTTGACTAACATGCCAAGTTTCCTTCACATTTACAAATGTCGATGACCCGAATGATGTCATATAAGGCATCTTTCATTAACGCGGTTTACTTAATTTTTGTTTCAACAATCATTTAATAAACAAAGTTTTTTAACTGAACCATAAACAATACCCGAGAAGGAAGGAAGAGGGGTTGAATCTGGATAACAATTAACCCTCTTCCAATCATAATTTTTTAAATTTATCATAAAAATTTAGGTTTAAGCAATTTTGCAAAATTCATAGGAGTCATTTTCATTCATTTTGAACCCGCATCGTTCTCAATAAAATAAAGAGTTTATTTTAATTAAGAATTTTTTTTTGAAAATTTTACTAAAGAAATTTGAAAGTAAACTGAAAAGTTGCGCTGACATTAGAACTAATATTTCTAAGTCGCAGCGTTAAACAGTATGCAAAAACTTTAGCTAAGTTTTTTTTATTTACACAGTCTACAAATTCTGAAACTTCTAAATAATCAAAAAAAAAAACAAGAAATTACATTGTTCATGAAATTGTATCCCAATACTTTTCGCCTCCCAATTCACTGCAAAATAAAGACATTTAAACAAGATTTAAAAACTTAAAGAAAACTTACTTTAAAACCCTTCAATATCTGAATCTGAAATTTTTGAAATTAAAAAAAAAGTAAATTTCATGAGGCAGCGACAAAGTTTAAACTAGAGGTATGCGCTTCATTTCTAAAATTTCTTTATTACAGATTGAATTTCCGAACGTACTTTATTGCAGCCTGTAATTACTTAAGAATCTATATTTTCAGTGTATGTAGCGTGAATTTTCGAACATACTATAAGGTAGAAGTATTCTAGAACTGAATAAATGAAAACCCCCTAATACTGGTTTATATATCGCCAATAATTTCATCGATCTCGGGATTGCTCTAGAAGCTAAAAATGCTTTATATTTTTATTACTGCCAAAAACAAAAACCCCAATTTACGATTTAAAAATTAATAGAGTAAAATATCCAGTATAAAATTAATTAAATATTTTTTGCAATAATTACTAACTAAACGATTTTTCCATTTTCTTTACACATTTGAACTAAAAAATTTCAGCGTGAGGTCGTATGGAATGCAAATATAGAGATGATTAAAAATTTCTATCACTCAAATTTAAAATTACATCTTTTCAACAACTCTTATTTATAAAGAAGCACAAAATAATTTATCTGATAATTATGCGAATGTAATTTATAACCAAATTGAAGAATATTTGCTTTATTTTTTTTTCAATTTTTTTTGCTTTATCAATAAAGCAAAAGAATGTTTAAAAAACGTGTATTTTGCAAAACATTTGACTTACTTATTTTATTTTGGTGATTGAATAAAAGAGATCAAATTTCAATAATTAATTTTTTTTGCCACATGATTAATTTTGGCCTTGTGATATAATCAAAACGATACAAAAACATATTAAAAAATATAAATGTGTATTAGAAAAATTAATAACTCTTTCAACCTACATATTCTTCTCTTTTTCACTCCCTTTCCTATAAATGACGACACTGATGTCTGATACATAACTCAGGAAGCGGAGTTTGATCAAAAAAAAAATAATTATAATCGGAGATTTTAATTTTTTCAGTGCTAAAATAGTTCTAACTTGTAATTTGTAGCACGTCCAAAAATTGTACGCAGCACAAATTGAAAATGTATGTAGATCGTTTAAAAATTACTTGCTTTAATAAAGTGTGTTCGAATATTAATTCTGTGAAATGTAGCGCAGACATCTAAAAAAGAACTGTTAAAGAAACACATTAGCTTCTTTAATTAATTGGAAACAAACGATATCTCCCGCATAAATTTTCTATAGAAGGAAGATTAACAAAATCTATAAAATATCATTGCAAATAACAAAATATTCATGCACATAAAAATTTAAATTACTTACCACCACTTTGCACCAAAAACTGTAAATTAGCTCAAATTTCTAAAAATACTAACCTGTTGGCATTTCTATTAATACTGACCTGTCGGTGTGATCAACAACAAGTTTCCCCTAAAATTAAAAACTAGACAAATTAGTAATAAAGAAAATTACAAATACATACTGTTACAAAGTTGGGCTTCAGGAATGTCAGTTTCTCTCAATGTCAAATTATCTCAGAAAATAAATAAAAACAGAATTAATTCACAATTTTTATATATTTCTTTATTTATGATTATTTTATATTTTCAGTTTAAAATATTTTCTTTGCCTTTTTTTGAAATTTTTTTTTCTTAAATTTTTTTTTTTTTTTTTTTTACTTTTTTTTAATTTCTAAAAATGTTTGAGTGAAGATGGGTTTTCCTTTTTTCCTTTTTTTCGCTTTTTTTTTCTTTTTACTTTTGTTTTATAAAAATTTTTTCTTCCTTAATTTTTTTCATCCTTTTTTGTCTTTTGCGTGATTCTTTTTTCTTTTTTTATTCTTTTGTATCTATTTTGCTTTTTGATTTTTTTTTATTTCAAAAAACATTATTAACCAATTTTCCTTCTTTTTTTTATATTTTTGCTATTTTTTCTTTTAATTTTTTGTTACTTTTTCCTTTTTTATCCTTTTTTTATCTTATTTTTGGCTCTTTTTTATTCTTTTCTATTTATTGTTTTTTCTTTTTCTTATTTTTCATTTTTTGTCATCTTTTATATAAAAAAAAATTTTTTTGTGGATGAATTAATTTTTCATATTTTTTAAATAATGTTTTTTGAATTTTAAAATTAATTTTTATCTGAAATAAATGTAGTAAGAGTAATATTTAATAAAAATTAAAAAATAAGTATCCTAAGCGTGATACGTTATTAAAATAAAGAAAAAAAAAACAAAACAAAAACAATAAGAAATATTAACTTAAAATAAAGCGTTGAGTAAAAAATGAGATTCTTAAGCTAATAATGGCATTCTTTTGTCTAGTCTTAAGCGTTTATATCTAATTCGTTATTACACGTGATAATTAATGTAAAAAAAAAACAAAATCCTATATCATTTTTCAGTTCTTGTATTCAAAAGTTAACATAATCTGTGCGTCTACCAAGTTCGGTAATCAATAATGTAATACTTTAGCATAGCGGATTTTCGATGATTCAGTTTTTATATATATGTATCTTAACATAAAATAACACGTTCAATAAATTAAAACTACAATATCTGTAATAGTAAGCAATATCTGAAAAATGTACACATAACTCATGCTACCAAATTTACTATTTTCATGGTACCATTTTTTAAATCGCTGTACCATGGAAAATTTTGATTTGTGATGGTACTATTTATTTAATTAATTATTATATTTAATTAATTAATAATACTATTTAATTAAACAACCAAAAATTTTTTTCACTGCGTGCTCGATACCAAAACGTCATCATTTTAGAAAATTTCATTTTTTTAAATTTTAATTTTTTTCTTCTAAAAGTTCATTAAAAATATTTTTTAAACTCCGAAATTTCTTTAATCAAATTGTTTTTTTGTTTTTATGTTGTTACATAGCTTCCGAAAAGTTTTTTTTTTGAAATATCGCAGATTGTTCGTAAAGCCTTTAAATCCAGAAAGTATTGAGATTTAAACACTTATTTGGAAACATATTTTTTTTTTGTATTTTCGATTGAATGTGGAAAATGCCAAAAAAATGTTTAATTTAATATTTTTATAAATAAAATTTTAATTTATTTATTAGTTGAATAAGTATACTTCGTTGAAATATTTTAATATTGAGAATTATTTAATTGCCGTACTCAAAATTAATACTCAAAATTAATAAAAAAAAATGTACCATTTTTTTTTGTCTGTGGTACCATGATCTTCAGGCTTCCTTCACTATTTTTTGAAATTCAATTTATTGTAGTTCTGACATAACCTAATGCCGTCGAAATGTAAATGAACGGCATTACTGTAGATTTTCGCAAATTATTTCATAAAATCCATGCGGAACCTAAATGAATTCCACACCAAACTAATTTTTACACATTAATAATTTGAGTTCAAATCTTTCGTGTGTCCATTATTCGATTAAAAAAAATTTGGTGTTATTTTCATAAAATTTTGGAAAAATATAATTTTATATAAAAAATGGAATTTTTGCGATTCTATTTCCTATTATGATAAAATCTCCTATTTAACAAAAACAAGAAAAAAAAGGAAAAACAAAAAACATATATTTTGATTTCACTGCAAAATTCATAACACAACAAATATCAACGAAAAAATATATAAATTTCTGACGAAAATTCAATAAAATCTTGTAATTTAATGTATAGCCTACAAACCATTGAAATAAGAGTTTTGGCATGTAAATTGTCCACAAGAGAAACCAGAATAAGAATGTAAATGCTAAATTTTGTCCTATGCATTACCTACCACAATAAACGGGAAAATAATGCTTACAACTATACATGCATATATACATACAATTTTATATAAGCTAATAAGTTACCCTAACGTTTCTTCTTGATAGGAACTATTTTATGAATGGAACAGTTGAATTTGTAATAAGGAGACAAGGAGTTATTCGTCTTTTGAAAAGTTAATGGTATTATTGAAAGAATGGAATAGCAAAATTGAATTTAATTTAATTTTTTTGTAATTGAATAGACTTTTCTATCAAACATACTTAATCTAAAAAATCTCAATCTCAAATTAATCTAAAAAAAGTTAACTAATTTTTAAGATAAAATTTAATAAAATTTGTAACAAAGAAAAAATGTTACATATTGCATGTTATAACGTATGAAAAGATGTAACACACTTTTAGGTTAAAAAAAAAGGGTTATACTTTACTAGCATACAGATTGAATTGCACCATTAAAGTATTGTAATTCTGGGGTTGTTTATGAATGGGAACTCGAATATGTATTTAGAATATGTATTTTCGTTTGCTGACCTGTAAAAAGCAAATAATTAAACTTTATGTTGTTGAATTGATCCATCATACCTGTTCTTAATGATTCTTAAACTTTTATCTTAAATCGGTTTTTCGGAAATTTTTTTAAGCAATTTTTTTCTATTCATAATGATATTACAAGCTAATAGAAATATTATAATTAATTTTATAATACTAAAATCTTTATCGTAATAAAAAACGTATAACAAATTTAATAGAATAAATAGAATTCAATAGAAATTTAACCCAATGATCAGCTAAGCGAATAGCTAGGCGAGTCGAATGGACTAGACGAATCGAATAACGTTTTAAATTATGATCGGCGAATGTTTTCATTCGACAGATCCAAAATGTTGCTACCGCAAGACATCAGAAAAGCTACCGAAAATAATGAGGTTAACACCACACACATGTATGTACATTTTTTTTTATGTTTTTGCAAAACAATTGAATTTTCCTATTTAGCAAAGTCGGGGTTGTTGTCCATGAATTTACTCAAATGTTCGAAGTGTTTTTGATTCCCGCTTAAATTAATATTAAACAATCAAAATTTTTATAATAATTTTGTAGAATTTTATGAACTTGCTTTATAGATAGTTTAGATGTTTCCATTATATCACTATAAATGCTATATCAAATAAAAAAAAAAAGCTTGTCACACAGAATTTTAATTCGAAATTTCATGCGCTTCGTCGATCATAATAAGGAACAATATCATTTTTAGATCAGTAGATGATGTAAAATATGAAATAGGTTCTTGTTTGTAAGTACCAAATTACTTAACACTTGCGTACTTTGAAACGGGAATGATATTAAATTCAGAAGAAATAAATTACACAAAAAAATTACAAAAAAAAAACTGCTTCATCTGGACAAAAAAAAACGCTTTTTATATATAGGCCTAACTAAAATTTTAGACAGTTAAAATGGATACTAAATAATTTTCTCCGCCAAATATTTGAATTTTGTAATTTATCGAACAGATTACCTAATGGTGGACAATGGGGCTGAATATCTTTTTTATTACTAAAATTTGAGCTGGTTTTTTAAAAAGTGGTATAAGTCCACTTTTTAAAAAGACTAAGTTAATGGTGATGATGAGCTATAGACACCTTATCTCCACAGTTACAATCACAACTTCAATAAAGTCCTGTTTAAACATAAAACAAACAAAATATGTTATTATGGTCAATATTTCTAAATTGATTCAAATGCAAAACGTTAAATATTTCAATATATGAGAAGATGGACTTATACCACTTTCAAAAAAACCAGCTCTTATCCCATTAAAAATGTGCATTTCAATAGATGAATAAGTGCTCGTTTTATCGAAGTATTACACATCTACAAGTTTAAAGTGGTGTATGCTCCGAACTATTATCTGGCATAGATAAAAAATCTAATCTATAAAACATAACGAAAGTGAAAATTTAAATTTAAAATTAAAGCTTTTCTGAAGATATTGATAAACTTCTCATACAAAAATATCTTTTAAATAAAGGTTTTTATAATCAAAAATATTCTTCAAAAATAAAGACTTTTTTCCTTTTTATATATAAAATCTTACAAATGTTCCTACTTAATAGGCAGAATTTAATATCATTATATGTAACGAAATACTAAAATGTTATAAAAATAAATTGAACAGGAAAGGGACCTTAATATTTTTGAAAATAATAAAAAATAAAACTTTTTATTTTGAAATGAAGAAGTTTTGCACATACACCTAAAAAAATTTGTGAAAACAATATTAGCTAATATTTCAAAATAATAAGTGAATGCAAGTAGTTCTAAATTAGAAATTTCCGAAATTAAAACATTTATGCCTAAAGCTCTTCAATCATAAAAATCTTTTTAAATTAGATTTTAAACTTAAAGCGTAGCTGCAAAGTTGGACGTGCTCGTTTCCAGCAGATTATTATGTAATTGATATCTCACTTATCGAAGCTGAAGCCAGATTCTGATAAGTTTTGTATAAAAATAAAGTTCGGAATTTCGCAGACTTTTTCGCTAAGTATATTCTATAACCAAATTAATGTAAATGACTTTAAAGGAAATGATTTTTTAAAATGTGAAGGTAAAAATAAGTAACATAAATCTAAATTTTAAGAAAAATAGTGCTTAATAGGGATGTAACATTTAAATCTGAAAGCTTCTTTTAGAGGTAAAAGAAAAAATTAGAACAGCAATTTTAAAAAGTTATAAATTGGAAAACCATATCTACTGACACAAATGAAAGAAAACGAAATAAGTTTCGGATAAGATAAGAACAATTTATAATATAAATAAATATAATCATATTAAATTCAATAAAATTAAATTTAATATGATTATATTGATTTATATTAATACCAGGGGCGAATTGGTACAAGAATCTCTTAACATACAAAATAATAGCCTTTAAATTTATTTTACACAATACCAATATTCCCTCTGTGGTTTTTGGGAAGCCTAAGAGCATTGATAAGCCTTTTATATTCTAATTTAAGCCTAAAAGCATTGATAAACCTTTTATATTTAATATATGTAGATAGAATAAAGAAAATAATAATGAAAATAACAAAGAAAATATTGTCAACAATTTAGAGAAGTTTTACCTAATAAATTTGAAAGCATAAAACAAGACTACATTCTAAGTGTTTATTTATGTGCTACAATTTCTTTCGATTGCAGTCATTTTAAATGATCTACTAACTACTCATTTTAAAAAATGGATAAAAAACATTCGCTAATACTTTAATTTCTATGGAAACTGGAGAACTCGTAATAGAAACACGTGCAACAACAGAAACATTAATGCAGATTAGGAAATTTTGAGTTCTCTTCCCTATGTTTCGTTTATTGTTTTTGTCTAAGGTTACCTTAAAATTTTAATTATGCAAAATAAAACTAAAATACAATTTCCTAAATTCATAACCAATTTTTGGAGAATGCATCTAATATGCCTGTGATATCACTTAAACAATTCAATAAAAAATTTAAGAATTACAATTAGAAAATACAACTCACAATATCTGAAATCCACAGGAAAATATTATGACTTTTGCAACTAATTTAATATGTTAGAAAATATGGGACCCAAATGCCAAAGACCAAAAAATTTAATTCAATTTTTGAATACCGATTATGAATGCAGATGAAAAAGTATTAATTTTTTTTTAAATTTTCTTACTTTAAAACAAATTTAGATTTTACCGCTTTTAGAAAAATAATCAAAATTTTCAATAATTTTGTATTTTCATATGGCAAATTATATTTTTTGTGTGGAACATACATTTTTGCTTTAGCGTTAGGCTGATAGTAGGTAAGCTTGATTATCGCGACGATTGTTAACAAAAACGGATTAAGTAAAAATAAAATTAATAAAAACAAATTAAATTAACCTTCTTGAAATATATATGTACATTAACTATATTAAATTAAAAATATTTTATCTAATCTTAAAGAATACATCAAAGTGAAACTTATTATTTTTAATATTAATAAGCAATGCTTTGTTAAAGAAATTATGCTTAAATCGTTTATGTTACCAATAATGTGTGCTTTCCCAAATTGGTAAAATAAATGAATTTAAAATGCGTTAAATAAATAACTTACCTAATCATGATGAATTTAAAATTAATCAGTATGGCGAATAGTAGTTAACCCTCCCACGATAGCCACTTCTGCAAAATGTAAATAAAAATTACCTTCAATTTAACTTAAATAACCTCAAAATTGTTTTCTTTGCAATTTAATTTAAAATAAAATTTATGATAAAAACGTACAAAATCCTTCTGGATCCACGGTATGTATGGCAGCAAGCCCCTCGTGAAATCCTAGCAATGCGACCTCTAAATGCTCCGGCTCCTCTTGGAAACCGATTCGTTGTTGATAGACCTGGACGATTGGTTCTTTTAGCCATAACCTTTAATTATTTATAAACAAAATCATTTATTTATTATTCATAGTTTAATTTTCACGAAAATTATAGGTACTTTAATTTGTCTTCCACGAAACAATGTTTCATTCATTGCTAATGCAGTTTCTACATATTCCTTAGCACCAAATTCTATATACGCAAAACCTTTCGGGTGGCCATCAGCTTTGTTACATAAAATTGTTACTCTATTTATTGTTCCACAGCCATGAAAATGAGCTTCCAACTCTTCAGCTGAAGCGCCATAATCTACGTTGCCAACATAAACTGATCTACTATCTATTTCCTGTTTTTCTTCTATTGATAGTGGTATTGTAACTATACCAGCTGTCGATCCGGCCATTTGCTTATCAACTTCAGACTGCATTTGTTTTATTTTTTCAGCCTCTTCTTCCATTTCTTTTACACGAGCTTTAATTGCTTCTAGTTCTGGATCTATTTGCATATTTGTTTCGTCCTATATAAAAATATTTTGTTTAAGAATATAATCTTAAATAATAACTATTGCATCTTTAAAAATTATTTCTTATAAAGCTGGAATTTAATAAAATATTCTTTGAAATGTGTACATGAACATACATATGTATGTATGTATGTTTATCTGTATGTATCTAGAGACGCCGTCTACTGTGGAATCTAATCATATCGATCTTAATACCTATTATAAACTGAGTGCATATGTATGTACATACATATGTATATACTCAATAAACACATTCTACAAGTTTTCTTTTTCAACTAAAAACTTTTGATATTAAATTCTCAGTAAGTATGTAGACAGATATACAATATATTGCGTATACATTATTATGTGTGCACATATGTATGTATACATTTTATAATTTTAGAACATTCCATATTTTTTGAATTTTACATATATAACATACATATGCATATACAGATGTATGTATATAACATTCAATAGGGAAAAATGCTATATTTAGAAATTCTGGCAGCCACTTCGAAATTCTAAAATATCAATTTCTTGAAATTAAATTACATTGGTAGAAAACTATTATTTCAAATTTCCACAATTAAACACATTGCGAATAAAAGCAAAAAATCTACGTTTGTGAAAACTTTTGAGCTTGTGGCCTTGGAATAAAAATATAAAAAATGATGCTTACTTGCATTTTTCCTTTTCTAAATGTTGATTTTAATATTCTTGTTTATTTTTGAATTTTTTTAAGATATAATTAACAACAATTTTATCCTACTTTTAATTAAAAAAAAATTTTTCACTTTTTTTCTGTTAACTTCACTTACTTCATTTAACAACTCCGATTCGCCATTAGCGTCGTTGACCAAATTATCCAGAAGTTGGTCTTCGTTTAGAGAAAGGTCTTCGTCAGCCATGATTCCCCTCAATTTGGTGGAATTTTTTTTTATTTTTGTATGTATACTAGAATAATAAAAACAAATGCGACGAATCAAAAACCCTTCCACAAAGAAAACTTCACCTGAAAATACGACGAATCCACTTCACACAGTAAAAATAACCCCAAATGATATTTAAAAATACAAAATGGATGACGATGTAGAGTTTGCTTTTAAAAACTCTTTTTCAGAAAAAATTGATTTATGAGAACGATCCGTGAAAAAATTTTTTTTACAATCTTAAAAAATATTTTGCGCCTTTTGAGTATGTAGTTTTCTGAATTCACTGTATAAACAATAAGAAAAATCTTTTATTATATTCTTATTACACCATTGAACATTCGAAAATTTTCGAAATAAAAACATGTGGTTGTGTTGAGATTGCGTCTTCTTGCTTTGACGCTTTCACTGTCATATTATACCATGTACTTTATACCACATTTTATTTCACCTAAATTCTGCAGAGCTGCCAACATTTGCATATTAACTTCAAAAAACAACATTTGATTGCCCTCAAGTTGTTTGAGTGCAATGAAATAGAAAAACAAATATACAACAAATTTTCATCACTTCCCATAATTTACAGAGATAATTTACACATTAAATAGATTTCATTTTAACAGACTGAAAAAGTGAGTAAAATATTTATTATAAATTACGATTTGATTTATATGTAAAACAGTGACACATTTTTCCATCAAAGAAAATGTATGTATACCCGTTTACACATCTAAACTGAAGTGTTCTATTGCACTAGTCGTTTCGAGTTGACGTGAAAAGACAATAATATTTCTTATATCTGCAAAAAAGTCGAGTTCACCGTTGTGTTTATAATCATTTCGTCCATAACCTTCGTAGCAAAATTATTTTACCGCTAAATTTTAAATAATCGTCTATTTTCCAGATTTTATTTAAAATTTTATTTCAAATATACATATATACAAAAATCTACTTTTTAAAGAACAGTGTGAAAATAAAACACATTCAAAAATAAAAATTTGAAAGAAGACTCAAGAATCAAGCGAAATTACCGCTGCGAATTTTACCGCCGGCTAAATTCTCATTTTCCCATTGACGTTTTCTTTTTAATTACCTGCTTATATGTTGACGTTATACGCTAAATATGGTTCAATTAATTTTTCCGTTTCGCTCTTGCTCTGGGTTTACAACTGAAATCGTCCGTCGTTGGCGCTCACCACTTTGATCCTATTTTCACAGTAATGATGAGAAAGAAATGTCATCATAAAAATATACACTAAATTTTTGTAGCGGTAAAATAATTTCAAAAAGGAACGCAGCTGTTTTTTTATTTGAGTGGAAACTATTTTTTGTGCTGCATATCTACGCTTAGGTCTTTTTTTAAAACGTGACACAATTTTAAACAAACCGAAAATTTACGAGTCGCATACACTTCGTCCGGGTGCGGCTCAAACAAAATGTACGAAAAATGTACAATTTGTTTTGGAAAAATAACTCTCACGAAATTTACATGGTAAAACCTTGTCATAACGTAAATATTTACTTCTGTTAACCTTGAGTAAAAGTTAATAATTAATTTTTGTCTTGTAAAGAAAACTAAAAATAATGAAAGTTCTTAGCTTGAATTATAAATAATATTTTTCAAAAATTTCGGTATTTTAGTTTGAAGTAAAATTATCGGTAAAATTTCGGTATTTAGTTTGAAGTTTTAAAAAATAAAAAGCATTAAAGCAAAATATTAGTAATGTAATTGATGAAATTTTCAATGGCTACGATCAATTTCAGTCAAAAAACTCTGGCACTGATTTCGGGAAAAATAAGGATTAATGTGTCAAAACATCTGCACATCTGCAAATTTATTTTCAGATTCTTCATAAACACGACAAAAAACATTAAAATTAGAAAAAAATGGCAGAAAAGGCCGTATATGGTCCAGAAAATTGTAAAATACAAATTAATAAATGGCGAGTAAAAGAAGGATATCATGTTAATTTAGGTCAGGTTATATTATCTTATACAGAATGTGATACAAATGATAAAGAAGTTAAAAAATTGAAAGCAAATAGAAATGGTATTGTAAAAAAGCGCCTTGCCAAAGAGGGTGATACGCTTGAAGGAAGGTTGGTTATTTTTTTTGAATTTAAAAACAATGAAAGTGAATTGAAAACAATTTTAGAGCTGCTTTGCTTGAGTTGTCAGAGTGTGCACACACAACAGTTATCAAAGATATGTGTGCGGATTGTGGCGCGGATCTCCGCCAAAACGATAATGTAAGTAAATGCAGTTTTATTTAAGGAACTTTGTTTACGAATTGTTTTTAGGGAAATCAGTCCGAAGCGTCTGTGTCTATGATACATTCTATGCCAGATCTCAAAGTTTCAAATAAGTTAGCACAAAAATTAGGACAAGCTGATACCAAAAGATTATTAGAGGATAAAAAGCTTGTATTATTGGTTGATCTTGATCAAACCATAATACACACAACAAATGATGCAGTTCCAAATAACATAAAAGGCATTTACCATTTCCAATTGTATGGTCCGCATTCTCCGTGGTATCACACTAGATTAAGACCTGGTACCCAAAGTTTTTTAACAAGTATTTCCGCATTTTATGAACTACACATTTGTACATTTGGTGCTAGAAATTATGCCCATACTATTGCGCAATTTTTAGATCCCGATGGGAAATTTTTTTCTCATCGTATTTTGTCAAGAGATGAATGCTTCAATATAAACAGTAAAACAGATAATTTGAAGTAAAAAATTTTGTATCAAAGTGGAAATGTCATTATACATGAAGAAATTCATATTTTCAGGTCGCTCTTTCCTTGTGGAGATTCTATGGTTTGCATAATAGACGATAGGGAAGATGTTTGGAACATGGCTCCTAATTTAATTCAAGTAAAGCCATATCACTTTTTTCAACACACTGGTGATATCAATGCACCACCAGGTTTAGAAAAGCACGAATTAGATGGTAAAGGTGTTGATTTTGAAGGTAATTAAAATATTATATTAGATTTTATTTATTCATAAATAAACTTTTTGTTCTTAGATTTAAATAAACTATGCGAAAATAGTTCTGATAATGGAAGTGTTGAAAATGTTCAAACAAAAGACAAAAATTCTCAAAGTGATTACTCAAATAGCACTGTTAACAATGAAACAAATTTGATAGAAGGTTGTTCTTCAAATTCTGATGTTGAAAATAAAAATGAGAATAGTGATTTAGAAAATGTAGATACAAATGAGCTTAATAGACCGAATTTTGATTGTAGTTTGAAAAGCAATAGTAATGAGCAAAATGCAGAGATATCTACTGAAAATAAAGTAATTGTGGACAAAAGTGATTTTAAAGAAATACAGGACCCAGATGATTACCTTTTATATTTGGAGTCAATTTTAAAATCAATTCACACAAGGTTTTATGAAATATATGACAAAACAAAAGAGATTCCAGATTTGAAAGTTTTAATTCCAAAAATACGTGCTGAAGTTCTTAAGGGTCTTAATTTAGTATTTTCTGGTTTAGTACCTACCAACATGAAGTTAGAGCAAAGTAGATCTTATTTAATAGCCAAAAGTCTTGGAGCTAATGTATCTCAACAAATTGTAAATGATACTACGCACCTGGTAGCTGTGACTACTGGAACTTTTAAAGTTAGTGCAGCAAGAAAACGTCGGGAAATTAAAATTGTTAATCCAGATTGGTTATGGTGTTGTGCAGAGAGATGGGAATGTGTAAATGAAAAATTATTTCCTTTAGATACTAGTAAGCAACCAAGTAAACAGCGCCAGCCACCGGCTCATTGTCACAGTCCTGAGCACGTTGTTAATTATAGTGAAAAATCCGAAATCTCCTCCGAACAGTTAGAACCTGAAGAAGAAGCAGAAAAATTTGTAGACACAATAAATCCATTGTTAAGTTTTTCGAATGACGATTTAGCTGATATGAATAAAGAATTTGATCAATTTTTTGAATCCGACTCTTCAAGCGATGACGAACCCGTGGATATTGGTATTGAATATGCATGCCTATATACATTTCAAATTTTTTAGAAAACGATTTTTCAGAAAATCCCCCCATTGGCAAGAGTTTGCGGAAACGCAAGAGGGAAGCAGATAATGAGATTCGACAAAATGAATTCTTCAACCGAAGCGATAAGCAAGAATTTAGCATAAATGAAGAAAACATGAATAGTTCTGATGATGACGAAGACCCTGTCACTAAGTTTCGTCGAGGTAATATAAAGTGAGAGCGATTAATAAAGTTTTTGTAGAATGGAAAAATATAAAATTTTAAGGTGAAGATGTAACGGAGGACTTAGATCTAGGTTCTGATTCAAATAGTGAAGGGAGTGAACAACAAGTTGATGAAGAAGACGATGGCGAGTGGAACATGATGGGAGCAGCACTTGAAAGAGAGTTTCTAGGTTTAGAAGATTGAAAATAAAAATTTATCAGCCCCGCAATCATATTTCACAACAATTTTTAAAATTTTAAGCAATAAGATCTTGTTTTTTATATATATTTTGATTGTTGTTAATGTTGGGCGTTTTTGAAAATGCATTTTTATTTGTAAATTTATGAATAAATTAAATTTTTTTGTTAAGATTTGTTTAAAACGTAAATTTTTTTATAATTTATTAAATACGACTTTAATTAAAGAATTAACATAAAAATTAAGCTTCATATAGGTATCATTAAATATATTTGGCACTTCATTGTAATTTAAAGAAAGTTTTTTATATTTCGTGTGCAATTGTGGGATTAATATATTGTGCGTATGTTTTTGTTTGAAAGATAATATTAAATTTTCGACGCAACATTTTCAGTTTGTGAAAATGTATATCATGGAAATTGTATTGCATTTTCAAAAACGTTTAATAATATTTTCAAAATTAAGCTGAAATTTTTTAATATTTAAATATTATAAATAGAGGCACCCCGTTCGTTAGAACTGGTATTTAACGTTTAAAAAGGAGTTCAAATACAATGTAAGCAATTTTAAAATAAGGTTTTAGAAAAATTCAAACAAAATGTTTTTATCATTCCAAATGAGGAATTACATGATTTTATAAGTTGAAAAAATGTTTTGTATGGTACTGTTTTTATTTATCATCTTCGTCAATTTCATTATTATTATCGTCTTCTTGATCCTCCATATTCACATCCTCCAAAATATCAATTTCATTCTCGCTGTCAAATTTTGTGCCGTTTTCCTGGACGTAACTTTCAAAACCATCTGACTTATTCCAAGAACATTTAATATGTAATTTAAATTTAGCCATTGGATTGGCTATTAATTTTAGTATTCTAGCTTGTTCTGGCGTTAATGATTTACCTTTTTCACATACTGTAAATTTAGAATACAAATGTACAATACCCTTATCTAATTTTGTGGGCATTCCTAAAGAACGTAAATGCGGTTCAATTGAATGCGAAAATTCTGCTAAGGGCCCTTCAGGTAAAACTATTGTTTCTGTTGCTATAAAACCACTTCGTGCATACTCAATACTCCAATAATTTTTAGCCCAATCAATAACTTCACTTTTATCTCTTTGAGTAAAAAGTAAGCCACATTGTCCAATTAAGCGCCGCGATAGCTGAAGTAATATAGTTTTAATTTTTTTCTAAATTTCTAAAAATGTTTACCTTATGTAGACCTGGTTCTATTTCTTCTGATTTTGTTCGCCCTAATCCAATTTGCATAATTCTATTTTTTCCAAAAAAAAATCTAGAATTTTTTTTCCATTCTTGCCTTAGATCTTTAAGAAGACTATTCCTCATATTTTCGATTGAAAATACAAATAAATTTGGATATTTTTCAACGCTTTTTCGAATATCTTCAATAATTTTTTGTTTCCATTGAAGTCCTTTTTTCTCAGTTTTAGTTAATGAAACTATAGAAATTTATTTTTTAGTCAATTTTATAATATAAATACTTACATACTTACTTTTTTTATCCCTTTTTGAGCGCGGCATTATTTTTTATTTCGAATTTTATATTTAAATTTATATTAATTGCATTAATTTGAGAACTTGTATACAAAAACAAAAAAAGCAGTTAATTACCACGAGGCGAGAAACAAATAAAATCAAAATTGACAAATGCCAGATATAAACATATGTACATACATTTTCCACATAATAAGAAATGCACTCCAGTAATCGAATAATCGAATATTAAAAAGGTGAGGCCAATAGATTGATTAAGCAATTCACGTACGTAGAAAATAATGTTAAGATGCTCTCCTGAAATTGTCGATCCGTTTTAAATACATATTTTCGGAAAAACGAGAAAAATAAAAGACATAAACTAGAATTTTTTCCAAATTTCCTGGGCAAAGCATCAAATTTTTTTTTCCTATAGCTTCCATAAGAATACATGTAAATCATGCTGTGAACTGTCACTCTTTCTTAAAGTCCAGGCCTGTATTTCTGTCAGTCCTGTTAATTCACTGTTCAAATTGATTCCTCAATAATTGAACTTATATGGTATAACTAAAAATATTTGTTTATGTTTGATTAATATTTTGACATTTGATGCTTACTACCTTTTTTATAAAGTTTCAAACTTTTTTCGTCTGGTTTATTTTTTCCCTTTAAATAAGAATATTTTTCCTTTACGACAAGTGGAGTTACATTTACAGACCGACAGAATATGTTTAATACTAAGAATGTACATATGTGAGTGTACAGACAGAATATGTGTAATACAAGGGGAATATGTGTAAGTGCAAGCGCAATAAGTTAGAGAAAGTGGCTAAATATTATGTTAATTCGAATTGTTTTATTTAGAGCAAGAAAAGGTAGGCTTTTTTGTCTTTATATTTGTTCGTGTTTGCATTTCTTTGAATGCAAAAATAAATTTTATTTAACCGTTAGAGTGCCGATCGTCGATAATCGTCGATTGCGCAGGCGTCACTTCCCACACACGCTCCCGCGTATAGTGCGCATTTACCGATCTTGTTTTTTCTTTACACTGTAAACCTAACTCGTGTTATTCTTTGAAGTAGATATTTTTTTGCAAATAATATTTTATTTTATTGATATTCAACGATTCTTATACGTAAAATGTCGCGGTCAAATACTTCGCGAAGTTTTTCGTCCGAAACTTGTGATAGTTCGAGTGATGGTTATACTGACCAAAGTAATGATGTGTCGCTGGGTGGTCTGTAGTCATAAGGGTGGTGCGGGACTACGTCGATCAACATGGATCTGCATTCGTGTAAGAAAGGGTGCACACCGAATGTTCAGGAAAACACAATTGTTAATTTTTTTTATTTCATGTTTTTTTTTTCTTTTTTTTCTAAATAAAATGTTGTGTTCATTATATTGTTTACTTTTTTTCAATAACTACTATAATTCTTCAAAAAAACACAGAAAAAATCAAGAAAATCGGTTAATTATCGATGAAAATTTAGAAGTTTTTAGAAAATGATTTTTTTTTTAACAAGTCATTTTTTACACGGCATTTTGAGGTAAAGATATGCAAATTTTTGGCACTCAAACGGTTAAAAAATTTGAATACCACCTTTCATAGTTTTTAAAATTGACTTAAAATTTAATCCCGTCTTGTTATAGGACCAAAACTTTCTTTTACCTATTTATAGTTCTTACTTTCCCAAAGCAAAACACTATAAAAAATATCAAATTAGTTTTTATTGAAAAAACTAAACTAATTCTTTGGTTTGAGGTGAGATCCGTATGTTAACTTTTTAGAAATCTTTTTTGATTTAAAAAGGGAACGGAAACACTTTTATTTTTGATTTTAAAGGTCACCTTGGTCTGACAGCCAAACAATGTCACCTTGGCAAGAAAATATCAGTTGGGCGATATTACCAAAAATTTGTAAAGTAAAATTTTAGTTATATAAATCTTTTACAAATTTTGTTTTACAAATTTATATACTTTGGGAATTTAGAAAAATTTGCGAAGGTAGGTTGAATATAGTTTTAATTTTACATCTTTGCTATCTTTAAAATTAGGGTTTCGATTAAAAAGATCAAAAAAATAAAAATTATTAATATTAAATTTCAGTTTAGTTTAATGAAGCATGATTAATAAAATAATTATCTTATTTTAGGGCTTTGGAAGATGACTGAACAAAAACAACGGTTTATTGAGCGGGGTGCCCATAAGGGCAAGGGTATAGCTATTTTTACCAGTGGGGGTGATTCCCAAGGTATGAATGCAGCCGTTCGAGCCGCTGTCAGAATGGGTGAGTTGGTTTTAACTTAAAACAATATTTCTATATAACAAGTATTCCTATATGAATTATTTATTTAGCAATTTACCTCGGTTGTAAGGTTTATTTCATAAAAGAAGGCTATCAAGGAATGGTTGATGGCGGTGATAATATTGTTGAAGCGAATTGGGCATCAGTTTCAAGTATCATACATCGTGGTGGAACAGTGATTGGATCTGCTCGTTGTGCTGATTTTAGAAATCGGGAAGGTCGCCTTAAAGCTGCGCATAACCTAATTCTTAAAGGGATAACTAATTTGGTAGTGATTGGTGGTGATGGCTCCTTGACTGGTGCCAACTTATTCCGACAAGAATGGAGTAGTTTGTTAGATGAACTTCTAAAAACTGAGAAGATTAACGCGGAACAAAGAAAAAAGTTTGGAGTACTTCATATTGTTGGAATGGTAATGTATATTATTTTCATGTAAATTTCTATATATTAAGTAAATACTAAAGTAAACATATAAAGTGAAGCTTAATTATATTTACATAATGTTTTAGGTCGGTTCTATTGATAACGATTTTTGTGGAACAGATATGACTATAGGTACAGATTCAGCTTTACATCGTATAATTGAAGCTATTGATGCAATTGTTAGTACAGCATATTCACATCAAAGAACTTTTATTATGGAAGTAATGGGCAGACATTGCGGGTAAGCTAAGTTGTTCTATTTTTTTCAGGTTATTAAATTTAATAAAATTACAGAGTCTTTTACAAATTCTTTACGACATGTAATATTCGAAAAAAACGCTTCTTAAATTTTTTGTCTAAAAATAAATACTTATATTTATTCATTTTTATTAAACAGATACTTACCAGTTGTTACTGGTATTGTATCAGAAGCAGATTATGTATTTTGTCCAGAATCGCCTCCACCATACGATTGGCACGACAAACTTTGCAATAAATTAATTCAGGCAAGCTTAAATCACGAATTTTCAATATTATCATCTTATTGGTAATGCGTTTGTATGTTATAAGAATTGGATACAACATTCCCTTTTAAAAATAGAGTTCCTATCATATACCCTTTTTGACAGTTTTAATAAACATTATTCATTATATTGGTTAATTTTTTCAATAATAAGGAATGTTAAATTACAAATTTCACACATGAAAACAAGGAACTGTATCATATCTCATTAAACACATATAAAGTTCATTAAGTGAATAATTGTTTATTTTTATAATTTACACATAGGGGGATATTCATTATTATAATAATGTTTCATATTACCAGCATTAAAGTTACAATCTATGAAATAAAGTAAATTTAATTTGAATTGTTTAAAAAGTTAACATTGCCGGTTATTTACCATTCTTGTATAAATTTGTTGTTCAAGTATTTTTACTATAATTGAAATCAACTATATAAAAATCAACTATTTTTACTATTTTCAACTTAAATAATTAAATAATACTTTATGTATGTATGTATCTTATCAATAATTTAATTCAAATACTTGTATGCTAAACAGATCATATTTACTTTCATTGGTAGTTCCAAAAAAAAAAGGTGAATGTGAATTCAAAAAAAAAAAATCTAAAATTAAATTTAAAGAAAAAATTGATTTTGCTATTGTTACGAAAGAATTACAATTTCTTTCGAAACTTTGTTTAAATTTTCAACTTAGAATTAAAAATTATTCATGTTACTTACGTAGTTTTAAACATGACACGTTCAAATTTGAATTTAAAAATTCATTATTTATTCTTACAAAAAACTTTTTTTTAGTAGAACTTAAATTAAATATTTATATTGTATAAAATATTTTGTGATTTCTATTGAAAACATAATCTATATTAACGGACATACGCCTGTTTTCTTCGCTTTTAATAAGTTTCAGTTTATTTAAAAAAAAACTTGATTTATTTCTGGAATATATCTGTACAAGGAATTTCTGTATTACGTTCGGTAAAAATGTAGTCAATATCGAATTTTTTGTATAAGTATCTTATTATATTTTTTTATATAAGATAATTGTAAAATCTTTATCGTTGTTCAAATTCAAAAATAAACAAAACGTTTATAACAAATTTTCATATTTGTTCTCAATAAACAAAAACGAATGTTGAAAATTTGACAATGTTGAGGCAGAAAAATGTTGAAATCGATTTAAATGATTTTGCTTTTGTTTCTTTGAGCGGTGTATTCTCTAATTCTAGTTACTTAGCTCTAGTGGCGGGTTTAAGCAGCGAGGCTGATTACATTTTTATTCCTGAAAGCCCACCAAAACCTGATTGGCCACAAAGATTATGTCAACAGTTAGCTCAGGCAAGGATTTAACAACTTTTTTTTTTTTTTAGTAATGCACCGAATAGATTTAATTTAATATGAAATTATTTTAATGTAGATATAAAATTATTATTTGTTTAATTTTTGTAAATACAATACAAAACAAAAAAAATTACATAATTATTGCATGTATGTATATGCCATGTAATATTAATGCAAATTACAAAATGCTTACATATGTTACTTAATTAATTTTTTAGGCTTGGTACGTTACAGATGCATAACTTTATATTATAATTAATATATATATATATATATATTGTGTATAGAATATTGTATTGATTATAATATGCATCTCGCGGCTGGGTCTATCGACTTATATTTAGAAAAATACTTGAAATATTTTTTTTTTGTTTTGTGAATTAATTTGTCTATCGATCGTTTTTCTTCAAAAAACAATTCTTTTTTTATTGCTCTTTTCTTCTTTATTTTTATTAAAAGATGTTCAATAATTGTATCAAAATTTTAAAGATGTTTTTGTAAATTCACTGCTTTCTTTTGGTACTTTTGTCATGTGTGTTACTTACCAAAAGACGAATGTAATTTATTGGTAGCTGTGAAAAATTTTTTTAAATGTTATGAATTTGTTTCTGAAATTAAGTTGTTTAATATTTTTATCATAGATATTTGTATGTTTTTAAATTCTTATGTTTATAGCAATTGGTTAAAAGGTCTGTGCCTTTGTATCACGGAATAAACTAAATTTCACTGACAATAATATTTTATCGGTATGATTTGGAAATATTAATTAAAGTATGTAAATATTTTTTAAATTTTTTTTTTTTAATTTGAAAGTGAAACTGATTTCTAATAGATTTTAGTTATCCAATTGTTTAGACTTTTACAATAACAAATCCGTACGTGATATGTGCTAAATAAGATGTAAAAAATTTTTTTTTTTAATTTTTCATTTGTTTGTCACCGTGTTTAACACTTTCATTTTGCATCATCATTTGTTAATCTTTTATTTTAGTTATCTGTCAGTAACTTCTGCATTATCTAGTGAAGCTGATTATATTTTCATACCGGAAGAACCTGTTCCAGAAAACTGGCCTGAAAAATTGTGTAGTAAATTACTTCAGGTAGAAACTTTATTAAGCCTGCAAAATAATGTTGCCAAGTTAACAATTAGTTAAAAAAAACGTTTTTTTTTGTTTTTAATATTAAATTCATAACTCTTAATTTTTAATTCATTTATTTTGAGTGTTAATAAATACTTATATTTGTGTTCTTTTTCGATTAACAAAAACAAGATTTTTTGTTTTGAAATAAGATTAATATATTTTTGAGTTAGTTAAATGTTTTAATCAGAGTTATATAACGAAGCCTCTGCAATTCTTAGTTCACATGGCCACATTAATTGTATTTAATTCCATTTTGGCGAAATTCAATAAAAAAATTATATTTTGGACAGTTCAAAAACAGTATTAAAAATTAGATTTATCGTTGATATATTTATTATAGATTGTAGATAACAGATATTAAATATTATATAATTAAAATAAATTATTTAGGTACCTACTTAAACTAGGTAGAAAGTTTTTTAAACTTTTTGAAGTAAATGTAAATATTGTAAGATTGATAATGGACGATCTATTAATTTTTGTTCAATATTTGAAATACGAGTATACATAATTACTTTAACTTAAACCATAAAGATTTTGAAATTAAAAATTTTTTGACTAAAATTAATTCAGTTTATACAATAGCTAATATTTCATTCTTATCATAAATGTATTTACATTTGTTTATATTAATTTACTCATAATCCCATATTATGCATACAAACATTCTTTCATTATGACTTTTTGATATTTGATGTTCATTCTAAATAAATCTTTACATAAATTTATCTTCATAAATATTTTTAGTTATAAGCAATGATAAAAAATGTATCAATTTTTATTATCATGAAAAATTATTTATTTTTATGAAATATTCTGGTATCGTATTCCGCCTAATCATTCTTTCAAAGAATAAAATTAAAAAGAGAATTTCAGATGTCACATTGAATTCCGAAACGATTTGAAGTTTTAATATGTTCTTAAAAACAAATTAAACTTTTACTTACATTAATCCCCAAATACATTTATCAGACCACCAAGTTCAAAGAGTAAATAAAACTTTATTTATATTTCAACTTATATTGAAATATAAATGGTGTTGAAATGATGTTGAAATATAAATATAACATTTCCAACTCTGCTGATTCTACATATTATTTGAATATGTACATATGTTACTTTAAAATTCTAAAAAATTTAGTTGGTAAATTTGCTAACAAACTGCATTATTAGGTGAAAATGTCGGTGCAGCCAAACTTTTCTGCTTTCCAAAGCTTAAAAAAAAAAATTTCAAAACAACTTCAATAATTGTTTTCTTCTAATTAGCAAAAACAAAGAAAAAATAGTTATAATGTTTCCATATAGCTTTCGAAAGAAAAGAGAAATAATATGACGTTTGTTTATATCTGATTAGTTTTAGAACTTACAAAATCGAACGTACCTAATTTTGCCTAATTTTGCATAAGTACCATGTTACAGTTTTGCTATATTGAGTGTATGTATCAAATATTTTTACACATTAGATTTCTGGGTAGTATCGCGACGAAATTTCCGCATTCCATTTTGAATGCGTTTTAAAATTCTTTGCTAAATTCTATCCTCCAATATTCATTTTTACGCCCTGAAAGCATTAATTTTCAACGGAATATCCTTTACTTTTTTGATATCCCAATTACCTGCGTTCGAAGCAATTGCTTGATGGCTTGATAGAAACGATTCAGCATTATTTACGGAAGTTTTTAATATGTGAATTTTAAGTTTAAAGTTTCTGTTTAATTTTTAACGTAAAGAACATATTATTTTATTTAAAACTGGTTTTAAACACTTTTTGTTTAATTGATTAATTATTATCAATCAAATAGTAAAGTTTAAATTTATTTTCGATCCTTATTGAAAATAAAATGAATAAAGTTGTTTTATTGTGATATCGAAATTCAATTTTTAATTTTATTTTTATTTAATGCAATTGGTATTTGAAATTGGCTGGTATGGTTTTTTTTTTGCTAAAGATGAAGGGATATCGGTAAGACGATCTACACATAAAACTAATTTTTTTATGTATTTTTAATAATTGAATTTTATGTTTTAGTTGAAGGTCATCTTTTGATTTGAAAAGGTTTTAACACATTGTGGAATTCATTCATAAAATAATTTTTTAATGTAATTATATAATACATATACTTTTAATGGCTTTTGAAGGGGAATGGTAGGATAAATTAACGGCATACTCTGTGACATCATATAATTTATAATGGAAATTTAATAACTAGTATTTTCGAACCATTTATAGTTTGAAAAGCACAAAAATTTGTTAATTTTTTTTTCTTCCGACGTATAAAAGGGGAACATAATTGTTTAATGATTGCTTAATAATATAATAATTAAAAAATATGTTTCACATGCTTATAATCTATGATGTTGCAAAGTATGAACCTTATATAACTTTTCGCAAAAATTTCATTCAATTAAGAGCTTTTCAAACTTTAATTATAATTTAGTAATGTTGATTGAAATGCTTATTTCATAAAATCGATAGAGTTGATTATCATAGAAACAATCATTATTAGAAACAACATTTTTTTCTGTTTAAATGTGTGAAATCATTTAACACAATAAATAGCAATTGAATGAAAATTTGTTTACAAAGAAATTATAATACAGAGAAATATAGAATTATATTAATTTTTAATATTTAAAGGAAACATTTTTACGTTTAAATATTTTTAAAGAAATTCTATAACATTAAAATATATTATCGGAATTCCACAATCAAATTGAAAAATAACTCGTAATGCATAAAAATGCAAGACTCGTAAAAAAGATAGTATGTGTATTTCGTTATTACAATCTCTTTATCAATTTAAATTTTTATTCTAAATTTTGTAAATTTTTTCTTATTTCCGTTTAAAATTTTTAATAAAAATGTTATTTTATTGTTAAATAAATAGGAAAGAAATGCTGGTCAACGTTTAAATATTATCATTGTGGCTGAAGGCGCTATTGATCGTGAGGGCCATCCAATAACAGCAGAAGATGTTAAGAAGGTTGTTGTCGATAAATTACAACAAGATACTCGTATAACTGTATTAGGTCATGTTCAACGTGGTGGTAACCCAAGTGCATTTGACCGCATTTTGGTACTTACATAAATATATTTACGTAAGAATATTTATACACAAACCATATTTTTATATAATTTAGGGTTGTCGTATGGGTGCAGAAGCTGTATTGGCTTTAATGGAAGCTACTGAGGAAAGTGTTCCATGTGTTGTATCTTTGGATGGTAATCAATCAGTACGTGTTCCTTTGATGGAGTGTGTAGAACGTACTAAAGCAGTTGCAAAAGCTATGGCAGAGAAAAATTGGGAATTAGCTGTCAAATTGCGAGGACGATCATTTGAAAGAAATCTTGAAACATATAAAATGTTAACTCGTCTAAAACCACCCAAAGAAGCTTTTGATGCATCTGGAAAACCATCAGTAAGTTAAAATTGCATAGAGATAAAACTATGTGCAGAACAAACTGATTACTAGATGCAATTTATTAATAATAATTTAATAATAATGAAACAATTCTTTTAGGAAGGATATAGACTAGCAGTTATGCATATTGGTGCTCCAGCATGTGGTATGAATGCTGCTGTTCGTTCATTTGTTAGAAATTGCATATATCGAGGTGATACTGTACTTGGTGTTCACGATGGTGTTGAGGGTTTAATTGCTGGAAATATTAAAGAAATGGGATGGTATGATTTTATTTTTTGAACTTATTTCTTAAAAACATTCTTATTTAATATATTGTCTTTTTCTCTTAAGGTCTGATGTAACTGGTTGGGTAGGCCAGGGTGGTGCATTTTTAGGGACAAAACGTACCTTACCAGAAGGCAAATTTAAAGAGATTGCAGCTCGTTTGAAAGAATTTAAAATCGATGGAATGTTGATCATTGGCGGTTTTGAAGCATATCATGCTTGCGGACAAATTTCTGATCAACGCCCCAACTTCCCTGAATTTTGTATACCATTAGTTGTTATACCATCAACCATATCAAACAATGTACCTGGAACTGAATTTTCGTTGGGCTGTGATACTGGTTTAAATGAAATTACAGAAATTTGCGATCGTATTCGCCAATCAGCACAAGGCACAAAACGTCGTGTTTTTGTGATTGAAACTATGGGCGGTTACTGCGGTTATTTAGCAACATTAGCAGGTCTAGCGGGAGGTGCTGATGCAGCGTATATTTTTGAAGAGAAATTTTCTATTAAAGATTTACAACAGGATGTATATCATATGGCGTCAAAAATGGCGGAAGGTGTACAACGTGGTTTGATTTTGCGTAATGAAAAAGCATCCGAAAATTACAACACTGACTTTATTCATCGTTTATATTCTGAAGAAGGTAAAGGTCTATTCTCGTGCAGAATGAATATTTTGGGCCATATGCAACAAGGTGGCTCACCAACCCCATTTGATCGTAATATGGGTACTAAAATGGCAGCAAAATGTGTTGATTGGTTAGTAGATCAATTAAAGAAAAATACTAAACCAGATGGAACTATTAGATGCGACAGTAATGATTCAGCCTGTCTTTTGGGTGTAGTACGGCGGCAGTACAGATTTACTCCGTTAACTGATTTAATTGCAGAAACTAATTTTGAGTAAGTTTACTAATTTTATTTTCAAATATAGTGGTGTTTATGAGGTAGAAGTGTACACAAAAATGTAAATTATATGGAAATTTGTTAAAATTCGATACTCCCAAAAATGCAAGTTTTCAATATGACGGTTTGGTCAAGGAAATTAACTTTTATAAGGGGTCAATGGAAATTAACTTTTCAATTAAAACTGACTAAAATTGGTCTATATAATAATTTATTGGATCTTAACAAATTTCCACAGTATTACACTGATGAAATATTCGCACTATGGATTTCATGAGCAATCAATTTTTTACCATCAAAATAAACAGTACTATAAATAAGTTTTCAATTATTACATTTTCATTTTAAGGCAACGCATACCCAAAACTCAATGGTGGCTCAAACTTCGCCCACTTCTAAGAATTCTCGCCAAGCACGATTCAGTGTATGAAGAAGAAGGTATGTACATAACTGTTGAAGAAGAATGTGGTCATGATGCTACCGTAGCTTAAATTTTAAGTGCATCGTATTTATATAAATACATATTCAACCAAATATTTGTTTACAATGAATATAATAATATTGCTCTTTTTTTATGTAATTTTTGAGAACTGTAAACTTTTATCTAAAGTTCATAAACATTATGTGTATAAAACATTGATACAAAAAATAATTAGTGACATGTAAAGTAACTTTTGAAGCATTATAGACATTTATTATTGCATAATAATATATTAGCTAAAAGGAATTTTGAATAAAAAATATTCAGGTAATATGTACATATTACACATCACTACATACATACATAAACTATTTTTAATTATAAAGTGAAAAGTCGAAAATATATATTTCTATGTTATATAAAAGTTGAATTATGTATGAAAGATTTTCATTAATAAAGATAAAATATAATTTTTTAAAAATTTGTTAAAACAATAATATATTTTTGATCATATTATAGTTTAATTAAAACATAATGATTGCACATCAATGTTGCTTATATTTTTTTTTCAAAAATTTATTTGAATAGATTTTCATTTTTGAGCTTACTTTTTTGTAACTCAATTTTACATACATACATAATTTTACATTCTTCTTTTTATTTTGTTATTTATTTTTTAGTTGTAGTTATTAAAATTTATTTTTTTAAATCAAAAGCTCGTTTTATTTGACACATTGTTTTGTTTACCAGTATTTAGTTAATTAATTTTGGAAAAATTTTAATACATGGTTAACTTTTTTAATAACCGAAAAAAATATATGTATTTCCCTTAGTTATTGAAGTATATGGGTTTTAAAAGTACAGATGAACCAGCGATTTTGAAAAATCTAAATGCATAATTAATATGGTGAGATGTCCAACATTTTATGATACTGATTTTTTTTTAATCTAATTTTTTAAAATAATTAAACCGCTATTCGTACAACATTCAGCTTAATATTGTCAAATACTGAACCGGATATTAATACCAGCTTATTTATTTTTGACGTAAATACATTTATGCCGGGTGTTGTATTGTTAAGATTTGCTTATAGATTGTATAAAACTATTATTTTATTACATTTTTTGGAAACTTAGACTTGCACGCTAAAATAATAAAATAACTACATTATTTGATAGGCCAATAATAATTTTCAATCATGTAAAAAACACATTCAAGTCAGCTTTATTAAAACTGCCCACTTAGTACACTGTCCTGGTTAGTATAAGCCCACCACATAGAGAAAGCGACTCTCATTTTCCCTTTATGGTTTTTAAAAAAGTGTTATTTTATTTTGATACTTTCAAAAAAAAATGCGAAAAGAAGGAAGTTTTCATTGAAGATAAATTCTCTTAAAAATATGTAATCTAGAAATTCAATCGATACAGATTCATAATCTGTACGAACGGAATTTGTGATCATTCAAAAGTCTACGTCGTAGTTATGTTCGTAATTCGTAAGATTGTACAAGTGGAATTCATGTTTTATATGGAATTTTTTATATAAAAAATATTTTTCAAATATGATATCATTTCGTTTCAGGGTAGCTGTTTTAGAAAAACGCAAATTCAAACAAAAATTGAAAACTTGAAAATTAAGTACATAAGTATTTCTTTCGCAGACTATTGAGAGTTATTTTAACTACGAACGTAATATATTATTAGTGTATTACGAATATTCGAAATAGAATTTTTGTAATTTAGAATTGAGAATATGAAATTCGTAATTTTCCGAATTTCGGAGCTACGAACGAAATTCATAATAGGGCTGAAAAATTATATCGATGTTGATCCGATTGAAGCAGTTCGGAAAGATTTTTTAATGTGGTATTGCGGTCTTTATTAGCTTATTCTAACCGGAGCAGTGGATTGTAATATAACAATAAAATTTTTTCTATCGTGCACTGTATTTCTAAAATTTAGACTTTTTTTTATGCACATAAAAAATTTATGTACATAAAAAAACAGTCAAAATTTTAAAAATTCTGACATTTTTTTATGTACATAAATTATTTTTATGTATTTATAAAAGCAAATTTGTTTGTACAGAGAAAAATGTATTCTATTGTAATATGTGTGTATGTATGTATACTATTATAATAAAATAATGGAATATTTAAATATTATTATTTCTGTAATTAAAACAAGGCATGTTTTATATAAAAATTGGTGTTTTTATATTTAAAGTTTAAATTTTTTGTTTACAAGCAATAAAAATTACGTTCCTAAGTAGATTATGGTAATTTTGAAACTCTACTCTGTTTAAATCTGCTAATTCTTTTTTTAGGCGCATGTGTGTTGATAATATTTCCGAAGGACAGATCATGACATTTTTCTGGTTCTGGGTTTGTAATCACATCACCCAAAATCTACAAATTTGATTGTGTTTAAGTAATTTATAAAGTAATATTGTTATTTTCATACCATTTTAGGAATAGCGTTCCCTTTTTCATCTTTTGTTTTTTGAAAATGCCGTTCACGCTTAACAGCATCTTTATTTTTTAAAATGGTCGGGATTGTGGGTGCTGTTTCAGTCTTTGACGATTCTTTCTGTAATTAATAAGGACTTAATATTTATTTCTTAAAATTAAATTGCTATTTCATATTATACTTTTTCTAATTGCGATTTTGTTGTGTCAATTTCAAATTCATTTCCAGATTTATTAGTTGTTGTTGTTTCATCTTTATGGATTGTTTTCTTGTCGAATCCATTTAAATTATTTTCCTTATTTTTTAATCCCTTATCAGACTCAATTTTCAATTTTTCATTGCCTTCCTCATTGGTGGTAAAAATTGAATCTAAATTTTGTGGATATTGTTCGCCAAACATTTCATAAAAATTCACTGGACTTTCAATAACATTATTAATACATTGTTCATTTTTATTATATTTATAGATATTTGGTGAGTGTTTAAACGTTATTTGTAGAGTGTGAGCGTTTTTATTACTGCTTAAAATTTTTGAAACTAAATCAAAATCTTCGTAGCTTTGTGTTTCTTGCATGTGATTGACATTTTTCTCCACTTTTTCAAGTATTGTCAATTCATTTTTATCAAAATTTATGGTCTCTAAATTATTTTCTTCAGGCTTCGGATTTAAAACAATTTTATCTTTACCAAATTCTTGACGGTTTTTTGTAAACATATTTTCTACCGTTTCATTTTGGTCAATATAAGTTACATCATTTTCTAGAATGAAAGATATTCGTTGATTTTTTTTAATTTTCTTTTCTGAAGTATCGGTTGTGTTAATATTTTTTTTGTAAGGAATATTTTTAGTCTCGACTTCTATGTACGAATTTTCTTGGTCTTCTAAAGTTAAAGCATAATCTATTAGATAGTCGCGAGCTTCCACTTTATTTAACTTACAATTGAGATCAGTCATACTACTTATTTTCATGCTATCTATTTCTGTTTCAATCAATTTTATTTTCTCTTTAACAAATGCAAACTTTTTGTGATATGAATCTATTTTTTCGGCTTGATTTTTGTATTCAATAAATTCTTCTGGAAAATCTTCATCTGATGAACTTTCTGACATTTCATCTTCAACTATATTGTCGACACAAATAAATTCATCGTCATAATGACCTTTTTGGTTCTTGCCTATTTGGAAATTTAAATTAGAATCTGTGCTACTTAGCAAATTTTCTTGAAATTGATTATCACTCGTAATATTATCAATTATATCGCGCGTTCTATAGTGGGAAACTCTTGGTTTTTCTTCAACTTTTAGTTCTCCTGACATCAATTTTTTCAACGTGTCGTCATCTTCAATTTTTAATTCACCAAGTTCAGTTTCCAGTTCTTCTAATAATTCTAGTTCCTCTAATTTCATTATAATATTTTCATACGTTTTATCTTCCTTGTTAGTAACATCTCTTTCCTTTAATTTTTCCAATCGAGCTCTTTTTTTATGTTCTTCCCTCCATTCCTTTTCCTTCTCTTCGTCATATTCTTCTATAATTTCTTGCATCTCCATTCCAGGTACCGCTCCTTGGATATGCGGTATTTCAATATTATTTCTGAAAATTTTAATTAACTTTAGGTGAAATTTAACACAAGAATTGTACATTTGTACTTAAACATATCTCTTTCCACTTCTAATTTAGTTAAATAGTCGTCTGCTATATTAATTCGATTTTTGCATATTTCTTGTGCTTGATAAGAGGTGCATTTTGAAATAAATTTTCCAAAGTGACTGACAAAAACCTCATTTGTATGCGTTAAATAGCCTGGTATTAATGCTTTGTTTCCGCTTAAAATTATTAATAGTTTATGTTATTTTTACATATTTATTGAAAATAATTTATATATTTATTACATTGGAACCATTACTTCCACGCTAATTTTTTTTCGGAATTCTTCTAAATTTTTTATAGCAGTTTCATGATCACTTTTATACTTTAACCATTTTTGTGTTTCCTCTTCATTTTTCAAAATAGCCTTAGAAATATAAGCTTTATAGAATTTTAAAATATAATTTAATAAAATTGTAAAATTCATTCAACCTTACTTGATATAAAATTTCGTCCCGGGCTTCCATCTGCGAATAAATTTTCTTATCAAATGCGCGAAATATTAACGTTCCAAAATAAAAAGTTGTAATAAGAATGTTACTAGTAATACTCAAAACAATTCATAAATACAAAACATATAAGTTATTATTTTGAACTCTGATTTTAATAAACGCCAAATAGATTGCAACTGATACATCACAGCTGTTAGTTTTTTGACATACATAGGGCTTGTTTGAAAATGCATTTCAATGGATAAATGGTTTTCATTTATCATTGCAGTTTTATTTCGGTTTGTTTTCATTTAGAAAACTCAATAAAAATAATTGCTAATAATTTTTAAAAGAAAATTAATAAATCGGTAAAAAACTAGATCCCTTGAGATTAGATAAATTTCAACTCAATTGCCTTATTAAAAAACAATAAGCTTTGTTTAGTGAACGAGTTTCTCTTTTATTAAACAATATATAATTTATTCACTAATTGTTTTAATTATTATAGGTTATTCAACGGTAATGAATAAATCAGTAATTTTGCAATTAAGTGAAGATAACGTCTATGCTTTTTTAGGTGCTATGCAAAGATGCACAAATCACTGTTATTTTTTCTTTTTAACATTTTAAAAAAATATTTTAATCAGTATTTTGACTCTTGGTGAAGAGAATCTTTGCAAATGTTTTAATATTTGGTTAGAAAAAAATCAAAATTAGTTTGGTAGCCCTGGTGTTGTGTAGCATAAACATTAGAGAATTTTTGACAACTGAATCTTGGAGATTGACAACTGAAGTCAGTTTTGAAAAACAGTCAATATCGAATATATGATTATAAAATATAAACGAAGTTTTTGCTTTATGTGTATATTTATCCACCGATAATTTTATTAAATTTCATTTAAAAATTTACATAAATTTGGGATATAAAAATGTCTGGAAATTATCCACCTGGTTATAATAATAATCGTGGAAATTTTAATTCCATGGTTGGAATGAATATGGTTGGATATAATCAACAAACTGGTATCCCAATTCAATCGGTGCAACAGGGAATAGGAAATATGGGACCAACCGGCATTCAAAGTCCATCTCATGTGCAGCAATCTCCAAATCCACATCAAACTTTAGTTCAACAGCAATTAACGCAGCAAGTTCAAGGGCCGCAATTAAATTTGTCTCCAAGTACAAACACGGTGTCGTCGTCAATGGTGCAATCGTCAATGAATCCAACACATCACCAGACACAGGCACCACAACAACCTACGCAAACTAATATGGTGTCAACGGTTCCTCAACCACAAATGCCGCAAAAAGAGATAAACACTGTCAGTTTAACAAAGTTGGGGCAGGAGACTGTGCAAGACATTACTTCGAGATTTCAAGAAATTTTTTCTGCTCTAAAAACAATACAACCGACTACTGGAAATCGTGAAAATAGTGCTGAGAAGAAAGTTCAAGAGTATTTTCGAACTATACGTTTACTCTTTAAAAGGGTCAGAATTATTTATGAAAAGAGTAATGACGGTTGCTCTCAAGGTAAATCCTAATGATTTTTTTTTAAGTTTTTATAATTATTATTGCTTTTAGGAATGGAATATACGAATGTTGAAAGTTTGATACCGTATAAAGATGAACCAGACCATAGAACAGAACCTGCGCAATGTGAAGAATACAAAAAGATCCTTCAGGAAAATAGAGAGCTTATTGAAACAGTTATGCTTAAAAATAAACAGCTTCGAGAAATTATTGATAGAACGAGAATAATAATTTGGGAAATAAATACTATGTTAAGTATGCGAAGATCTTAATAAAATAAAACATTGTTAAAGATAATTAATTTTATAAAAATTGTGCGCTCGAACTGTTTATAATACAAATTTCATTATATGAATGTTTTAAATTAAATAAATATTTCTTTCCAATCGTTTCAAAAAACTATTCATTTAATACATTTTCACCGTATGTTTGAGAGAACGATACGTACATACATACAATACAGTACAACTAATCCCATACAACTAATTACCAGTTTTTGTTGAATTTGAACAAGCTGTTGGAAAAGAAACAGAAAAATTTGTTCAGGTAGAGCTTTCTTAACATAAGATATATGTATCGACTAATTATATTGACACCTTGCTCGTTTTTCAGTTAATTTTATATATGTATGTATGTATGTATTCATTTTTCTAAAATTATTTTACTGGTTTAATTTGTTTGTTTTAACAGCGCCAGCCAATAAATAAACACATATTTGGTGCACGTACTTTTACACTGCATAATTATATGCATGCACACATATTTTTGGATTTTCCATTTAGAATAATTAATCATTTTGTATGAATTTGTTTTCTTTACCTAAATGTGTATTGTAAACGGGTTTTAGCAATTTAACGTTGTAAAGCAATTCAGCTTTGAAGCTAATTTTCTGAATGAAATTTTAATATTATGAAATCTAAAATATGTTACTTAGAAAGCGCAAAAAACTTTCGTTTCTATTATGTAGGTTCATAAATATTGATAAAGTATGTAGGTAACAACCAACTTAGAAAATACATAAAAATTTTTTTTTTTTCCGATTTTTTTTTTTAAATTATTTTTTTAAACTGATTTATAAAAAATTTAGCAAGAGTTCTAATTTTGATGGTACATTCGTTTTGGTATTCAGTTTTTTTAGAGTCCTAATATCAATGTATACATACTTATAAAGTACAAATTATGAATATTATCCTTGCAATTTCTGTCCTGATTAAAATTGTAATTTGAAACATATATGTATGTATGTACATACATACATATTACATTTATGTACTAAAATATGAAATGTTAATATAATAGAACAGTTAATAATAATTCTGTTAACAGAGAAAAGTTATGCTAAATGAAATTATATTTTAAAAATGTACTACGGATTTATATGCTTTATGGAATCAAATAATATATTATGGTCAGATTTTTATAGGATTTATAAAATTTGGAGGTTTTTTTTTCATTCTATTTAATAATTTTTTAATATTTTGTCATTTTGGCATAATATAATAAAAGTTGTGAGCATTAAAATATTTTAGTGTACTTGCATATGTATGTACAAACGTATGGGCATTCTTGCATTCTTGGTTTAGAGTTATTACTAATTATTAAAATTTACAGCTACTTTTTTATGTACTTACAGAGGTGTGCACATACACACATATGTAAGAGTCATATGTAAGTAGGTAATTCTATAAAAGCATACTTTTAGGAAGAAAAACCGCATAATTAATAAATATATCTTAATAATAGTAGAAAAACTACTATTCTAAATGAAAAACATTAAATTTAAGAAGCTTTATAATGTTAACAAAATAGCTAAATATTTATTTATGTATCTGCAATAACTGCATTTTTCATAAAAAAATTAGAAACTAAATTAGAAAGAATAGAAAGTCTATTAACATATTATGTATATATGTTTATAACTAAAACAATACAAACATTCTTATATTTATTTCTCCTACAATTATCATTATAAAAATTAATTAAATATTAAGAAGGAATTAACAGCAGTAATAACGAATTAATGAATATGAAAGTTCATTAACCTAATTTCCATATACACATTACATACATACATACTCATAATATAATTATGAATATTCCATAAACACTTAGCAGTATGTGTTATGCAGTTTGTCTCCTTCACATTTCCTTTTTTATCAGTTACCTGTTTACAAAACGATTCTAAATTATGCATTTTCTACTCACACGTTCATATAACTTAAATGGGAAAATAATACATAAGTTGATTAGGTAAGGTAATGTCTGTCAACCAGATGCTTATTCTTAATTAACATTTAAAGATTTCATCGACGAGGAATATAAAAGTGCAAACGCAAAAGGATATTTAATTCAGTAAATATTTGGTTGTAGATTTATAAAAGTTGTTCTTTTGGAAAATAATATTAAAAATAATTGATAATTTAAAAATTAATAAAATAAATTAAAAATGCCGATCCAAAATAAAAAAAATAACAGTTTGGAATGTGAAGCCAAACCCAAACTTTATAAAGTGGAAATTGTTTCAATTCGTATAGAATATAATAAAAATTTGTAAGTGTTTTTAAAAATTTTTATTACTTGTTTATACCTATATGATTTTGTTTTGTGTATAAACACGTTTATAAGTTTGTATGTAAAAATTTCTAATAAAAAATCTTTGTCAACATAATATGTATATAAATTTTCATGCATACATACTTATGTACATAGTACAAATATATTTTTATGATTATTGAACTATATCAAGGATCTAAATATAAGAAAATTTAATATTGTATTTTATAGAATTCCTATGAGGCAAATCACAAAACCATTTGATTTTTTTGATCGTAGTTCACAGATTGAACGAAATATTGTTAATTGGGTAAGTTTCAGAATTTTTTATATAATTTTTATTATATAATAAATGCACTATTGTACTATCCTTTAAATACACTTATGATTTATCACTACTTCATTTTATTAAAAATAAGGTATCTACATAATTTATTTTTTGCTTCTTACAGTATTTAACTAAAATAAAAACAGATTTAGTTGATGAAAAACGGAATTCATTATTTTCTTTACCACATTGGAATATACAAATCAATAATCCGGATTTATTTAATTTTATGGATAAATCATATACGAGCATTGATTTAATTTTTGGACAAGAAAAAACATATTGGAAATTCACAGGCGAAGGTGAAACATCAGAAGAATTGGAAATCGTTGAAGGTGAAACTGAATTAAATATCGGAACCTGTTCATGTTGTATTGACACACTATATCCAAGAATAATTAAAGATCTTCAAAATCAGTATAAAAAATCGTAACATTTAGGCTAAAACCATATTAGGTATCCATAAATTTGTGTAGAATATTATGTAAATACTTAAACACGTTGTTATTTCAATTAAAATTGTAATTTATAAAAATTATATTAAGATGTTATAGGTAAATATGAACGCACTTTTTTTTTTAAGAAATAAAAATTATTGTGTCCAAAATAAATAAATGATAAATTTTTTATATATGTATGTATGTATGTAGGTAAGTATGTATTTATTTGCTTGTATTAAAAAAAACTCTCTCAAATGAGTAATAATATTACAATAATCTAAATATAATTTCGCACAAACAAAAAAATTTATCAAATAAACAACATTTGTTAAAGCAGAGGTTAAAGTAAATTAAAATATTTAAATATTAAAAATATTTACATTCTATCTATGTGTATACTTGTGATATACATATATATTTAAATGTTTCGAATAAATCTGAAAATAGAAAAGCAAAATACATTATAGCCAGTGCTTGAAGTGAGGTGGGATGGAGTGGGATGCCATCCCAGTACTTTTAAATAATTGGAAATCCATCTAACTACTTAATAGTAGAGAAAAATGCGTTTCGGAACATGTTTTTTAAAATTTAAGAAAATTTTCTAATGAATTTTAAAAATTTTTTTAACAAAAAATTAAATATAATATGTATGTAATTTTAAATAAGACCAATTTCAAATAGTAACGTATAATTTTTTTCTATTAATGAAATTTTCGTTACTACATAGTAGTCTATGCATTTCTTTGGTAACAATTTGCACAGTTTTTGATTCAATTTTTAGTTGATTTAATTTTGAATATAAATATTCTCGTTAGTTTACTTCCAAAGTTTGGTAAATTTTGTTTAGTTATTTTTTTAAAAAATAATTAAAATAATACCTTATTTTTTTATTTTTTATTACCATCCCACCACTTTGAGTATCTCACTTCGACCACTGTATAGCTTAAGTCTTGCGCACTTTTAAGTTTCATATGAAAGGATCTTTATTTTCTACTCGTATAAGTAATATTTGTCATTAAATTTTCTCAACTCTGCCAGTCATACATACATATGTATGTAGAACTTAACTTTATTAATTTTCAAAACAGATGTTAGAGAGGATTATAGAGTTTCTTGCGTATGTGCTTACATGTGCAAGATTAAATATTATTATATTATATGATATTAACGGAATGGCAAAATTGATTTTTATACCCTGAACCTTCAAGAAGGATATATTAACTTTGGTATGGAGTTTGCAATCACTTGAAGGAGTCGCCCTCGGTATGGAAGTGTTTATATATTCTTGCTCAGCGCAAAATTCTGCGTTGATTTAGATTTATTCGTCCGTCCGTCCGTGCGTCTGATCGTACGATAACTCAAAAACGAATAATGCAATCGGCACCAAACTTTCACAAATTGTTTCTTTTGTAATTGGGCCAATTCGGGCAACGAGTACGGGTAGCTGCGATGCAACTCTAAAAGTTACTTTTAAATATTTGGAAAAAAAATAAAGCTAGATTCATGAAACTCGGCAGACATATGTCTTCAGATATATATGTATGTACCTGAAGTTTTGGTGTAATCACTTGAGAAGTTCGGGTAGCTGCCATACAACTCCAAAAGAAAATTTTAAATATTTAGAAAAATATGAAAATTAGACTCATCACCTGGCAGTCTATTTATTTACAAATATTTTTAACTTTAACGAGAAGTGTTAAACTGTCGTGTCACAACTTATGTAAATAATAGAACTTGTGTAATAATAGAACTTAAGTAAATAATGTCCCATATAGTCCGTAATATAATCTCCAAATAGGGACCGAGCACTTACAAATAATCCTGAAATTTATTTTCAGTGTTCGTTTTGCTGTTCAAACGATCCGATCATGTTTAATCGGCCAAGACTGTTCAACCACACAAAATTTATAATTAAAGCCATGGTTAATTAAAGTAGCTGTCGCTACTATTTCTAAAATATCCGTGTATAATAAAAATATTCGTGACTTCAATAATACTTTATAAAAAATTTAAGTACGATATTAATACGATTGTACTACCGTCTCAGAGCTTTCAACATTTTACATTGTAAAAAAAAACTGCTAAAGCTTTTGATTTTTGGAATACAATTTTTACAATATTAATACGTACTGTGACGTTTGTCTGAAAATTTCAATTTAAAGCTCTGTACTCATGCTAATTTCCAACAAACGTTACTACATCATTAAAAACATAGCATTTTTATGCTGCATTTTAGGGAAAAAAATCTTATAATAACCAGCACTTTATTGCTGAAAAAATATGCTAGTTTATT